TTTGATGGCAAACATATAAAGAAATGCTCAACCTCTCTAATTATTAGAGAAATGCAAATCAAAACCACAATGAGATACCACCTAACCCCAGTAAGAATGGCCTATATCAAGAAATTCCTTTTTTTTTTTAAAAGCAAGTCTTCTCAGGGATGATGTTTGAGATTGCATCCACTTTGACCCATATAAATTCTCTTTCAAGGTTGTTTGAAGATTTAGAACAGTAGGCATTTGTAGCTTACTATTCTTGATAAAGCCATTATATCTTTTGGGATACTTGATTCTTAGATGCTCCATGATGATTTGCTTTGCAAGCTGCTGAGAGTGAAGGTGGAAATAAATGGAAGTGAGACATCATAAGTAGGGAAACCATTATTTTAAAAACCTGTGATTGATGAAGATGCTTGCCAGTTAACATGCCACTTGAGGTTTCTGAATGAATGTGGGTAAATGAGACATGGTATTTAAATAGATTAGAGGAATTCCCTAGAGTAGAAGAACCATTCCCTAGAGTAATTAGAAATTCAGTTATATTTTTACATAAGATAAATTGAAGTAAAATCTATTTTAAAGGGAGAGGTGATACCAAGGGGATGTTTGTATCCAGTGGTTCTCAATGTGCAATCCTTAGACCAGCAGCATCAGTATCACCTGGAAACTTGTGCAAATTAGACTCCTGAGACCTTTAGATGATTCTGATATAGCTAAAGTTTGAGATCCACTGCTATAGAGGTCTATCTTCATTGTTATTAACTTTGATTGGTATGGAGTAATGCTGTATGGGTCACTTCTATTGCAAGTGACAGAAATCCATCTTAAACTAGCTTAAGAAAAGGAATTTGCAGGCTGTCTTAGCTGGGTTGGGAGATTGTTGGGATAGCTCACAAATTCAAAGCAATAGTTGCAAAGAATCAGTGCCCTGGGGGTTGGAACTTCGTGTCTCTGCATGACTTTGTCCTGTTTATAGATCCTAGATAAGTGTAGAAGTATGGTCACAGGGCAGCTCCAGATTCACATCCTATGAGCTTAGCAACTCCAGAGGAGCTGCTTTCTACTACTCACAAGCCCATCACTCAACCATTATGTTCATGGGGATGAGGGTCAGTGACTGATCTAGGCTGGGTCATACGTCTGTCTATAGGAGGAAAGGATGAGAAAGTGTGCTACTTTGGCAATGTAGTTCGCTACTAGATAATTGGGTTTGCTTTCTAATAGGCTTAAGTATTGTTGAAAAGGAGAACAAGAAATCTGGAGGTTTTTAGAGTTAGAAAGTGGAACATACTCATATTTACAGTATTTCTTAGCCACTTTTTTGTTAGAGAGTAGTTATCTTAAAAGGTTTAGGGTGCCTTAATCTGAGAGTTGATGTTTTATGTTTATTATTTTGTATGAAGATAATTTTTTGTCACTATAAAAATAAATATACTAAGAACATCTGGAAAATATAGAGATATAGAAAAAAATCACCTAATGTTCTGCTACCCAGAGACAACTACATTTTGGTGAATATCCTCGGTATATTTTCTTGCATATTTTTACGGTCATATTATGATGTTATTTTTTTCTTTGTTTTGATCAGTATGAATTATTTACAACTGTCTATCAAGGTAATGAAAACTTAATCTCATTCAGTATAGAGTCCACCAGGGTTGTATGATGTTAATTTTTAAATCTTATTTTTTCACTTCATAAGTGAAGGATATGTTTTAAGGTTTTTGACATATAACAACATCATTAGACAATTTTAATTGTTTAGTTGTTCATTTGATGGACAAAAATGGTATTGAATTTTAATTTTTTATGTCATTAACCACTAATAAGTTTGAGCATTTGTTTTGGTTTCACTATTTATGGTTTCTGTTTGTGACATTCCAAATTATACATTTTTCTAAATTAGCATCTTTAGTGTTTTTTTAAATATTGATTTGTATGAGCTCCTTAAAAGAGTTCTGTTTTCTTTAAATAGTTTCCTAGTTTACAGGCACGGTGGCTCATGCCTGTAATCCTGGCACTCTGGAAGGCCAAGGCAGGTGGATTGCTCGAGGTCAGGAGTTCGAAACCAGCCTGAACAAGAGCGAGACCCCATCTCTACTAAAAATAGAAAGAAATTAATTGGCCAACTAATATATACATATAAAAAATTAGCTGGGCATGGTGGCGCATGTGTGTAGTCTCAGCTACCCGGGAGGCTGAGGCAGTAGGATTGCTTGAGCCCAGGAGTTTGAGGTTGCTGTGAGCTAGGCTGATGCCACGGCACGCACTCTAGCCTGGGCAACAAAGTGAGACTCTGTCTCCAAAAAAAAAAAAAAAGTTTCCTAGTCTATAGTTTACAGGGTTTTTTTTTGACATATAAATTGAAATTATCTTGTGTATTTAAATTGCATCTGGCTTTTGATATGTTGTTTTCTCATTTTTGAGTTTAGACATTCTCTGCTTTTAGAGATCTAATAACTTCTTTTGATGTTATTTTGTTATTGTTGTTGATTATAACTGTTTAATCCATCTAGAATTTATTTTGAAGCATGATGTAAGGTAAAGCTATATTTATTCATATGATTAATGTTCTGAATTTTTATATAAACTATCATTCTTAAAATATTTTCAAGCTGTGTTATACTTGAAGAAAAATGCAGCTTAAGCTTTTTAGTTATTTCTGTAGGCTAATGGTTTTTGATTCATTGTGCAGTTTAAAGACAATGAAAGATGACAAACTTCAGTGACAAAGTATATTTTGGCAATGAAAAAATAACCTCTTATGTGATAAACTCTCATCCGAGTTAAAAGTTTAGACAACATTTGTGATTAGCCTTTTGTTAGTACAGTGAAAACATTTGTATTTTCTGGAAATAGCATTTACTCATGAAGAAGATTATGACAGAAATCTGTTTAAACAGAAAATTCTAGACTCTTCAGACAGCCCAGCCTTTTGAAAAAGCCTTGTGCTTTGGCAGAAGCCCAGGAGAGGAAGTGTCTACATCTGCTACATTCTAGAAACCTTCCCAAAATCACTGTAAGGCAGCCAAGAGAGCAGTGTATTTCACTACTTGTGGTTCTGGAAGTATCTCAAAGTTTGCAGCAAACTTGAGGGAAGAGATTTAGGAGTACTTTCAGAAAGTCAGTTTTGTGGTGATCTATTTTTATTGAGATTCAAGTTATGGGGAAAGTGGGGTTATTTTTCAGCTTTTGTGGAATAGGGATCTTTCAATGTAGTCTTGAACCTGTTAGTTTAGCTCTAGCCGCATGGCAAGAGTCTGAGGTGCCTGCACAAGTCAGAGTTACCAATAGGAAGGAGCCTGTTACTGGGGCAAACTATGTTAACTTATTCTTCTGTAAGGTAATAAGAAAGACATAAAGTCCAGGTTTATAGTGGAGAAGGAATAAGAGAAGAGTGCTAGCAGGGTATCTGGGAAAGTGGGGTAAAGCCTTTCTGTTGGTTAGTTGATATCCTCATTAGAAAACACAGTACTACCAGGGACATAGAGAAAAAATATGGAAGGGCTTTGCTGCCAGATTTTTAAAAAGGAAAAAATAAATAGCGATAGCTATGTCTTAGGCTAAGATTTTTTACATAGAACATAGTAGATAAGAAAACTCAATACTAGGTCCTTTGAGAGAAATTACTAGTTTAAATGGACAGGGCTGTTTATTCATTTTGGATTCTCTACAATTAAAAAAAAAAGCTGGACATGGTGGCCTGCCTGTCGTTCAAGCTACTCAGGAGGCCGAGCATAAGGATCCTTTGAGCCAAGGAATTTGAGTTCAGCCTGGGCAACATAGCAAGACTCCCCCCTTCCTCTCCATCAAAGACAAAAACAAAAAGTGGCATTATTGAGATATAATTCGTATACCATACAGTTCACCTATTTAATATTCATGGTTTGGTGGTTTTTAGTAGTCTCACAGAGTTGTTCAATCACAGTCTATTTTACTTACGTATTTATTTCTTAAGAGATGGGATCTTGCTTTGTTGCCGAGGCTAGCCTCCAACTCCTGGGCTCAAGCCATCCACATCATTCTCTGGAGTAGCTGGGACTATAGGCCGGCGCCACTGCACCTGGCTGATTTTAGAACATTTTCATTGCCCCCAAAACTACAACTTTTAATTGAATTTATTTTAGAATTTAAAGCCATATAGAGAAAAGATGGACTAATTTAGAAATTTGAAGGATTAAACAGAAACCTCTGAAATCTTTTTACTTTAACACATACTCTAACATCTTTAAAATGCATTGGTAGACTGGATGAGGTGGCTCACGACTGTAATCCTAGCACTCTGGGAGGCCGAGGTGGGAGGATTGCTTGAGGTCAGGAGTTCAAGACCAGCCTGAGCAAGACCAAGGTTCCGTCTCTACTAAAAACAGAAAAAATTAGTTGGGCAACTAAAATACAAACAAAAAACTAGCTGGGCATGGTGGCGCGTGCTTGTAGTCCCAGCTGCTTGGGAGGCTGAGGCAGGAGGATCTCTTGAGCCCAGGAGTTTGAGGTTGCTATGAGCTAGGCTGATGCCATGGTACTTACTCTAGCCAGGTCAACACAGTGACATTCTGTCTTAAAAAATAAAAAATTAAATTAAAAAAATAAAAGATAAAATGCACTGGTAATATTTAACAAATTGGTATATTTTTATGGGAAATTGATGGTTTGGATCTAGATCACAGAGAAAATTATTATTCAGGCTGTACGAAAGAGCCACTATTGTTTAGTTACTCTAATTGTAATAGTAACTAAGGAGAAAAACTCAGCTTGAATTTTTAAGCATAAATTATCAGGTGATAAACATGTACATTTTTCCCTAATGTGAAATGTCAAGGTAGTACTCTCAGTAAAGGAAGAATAAAATAGTAGCTATTAAATTATTAAACAATTTATAAGAATTAACATTAATTCTATGGGCAGCCTTGGAATCTGACTTTCATTTTGTTCATAGAAAGAATAGGTAAGGAACATTTCCCTTCCCCTCTTTTTTTAATCTTTTAAGTAATGGCTGTATTTTTCTCTTGCAGGTGTGTGAACCTGTAAAATGAAATCTTCCAGGATGATCTGGTGTATTTTAATTGTAGGGATTCTACTTCCCCAGTCTTTGGCCCATCCAGGCTTTTTTACTTCAATTGGTAAGTCTTAATATTTTTTGGTTTGTGTTGTTTTTGTAGTTAAAATTTTCCATTTTTTTGTTTATTGATTGATTGATTGAGACAGGATGTCACTCTGTCGCCCAGGCTAGAGTACAGTGGTGGTGTTATCATAGCTCACTGCAACCTCACACCCCTGGGTTCAAGGGATCCTTCTGCCTATAGGTGCATGCCACTACGCCTGACTAATTTTTCTATTTTTTGTAGAGACGGGGTCTTGCTCTTGCTCAGGCTGGTCTTGAACTCCTGGCCTCAAGCAATCCTTCCACCTTGGCCTCCCAAAGTGCTAGGATTACAGACATGAGACACTGTGCCCAGTCTCATTTTTAGTGTTTTTAAATCTATAAAAACAGATACAGTGTATTCCCAAAGACTGAAACATCGGTTTACTCCCTGCCCCTCTAAAAGCTCCTCTCTCTCTTTTTAAAATAATTTATTATTTTTTTAAAGTAATTTTTCCTGGCTACAAAAATGATACGCATTCAGATTATAAACTTACGAAAGTTTAGGAAAACATATCAAAGAAAGTCCACAGATAGACAAATAACATGCTGCATATTATTTTCTTTTTTCTTTTTTTTGAGACAGAGTCTCACTTTGTTGCCCAGGCTAGAGTGAGTGCTGTGGCATCAGTCTAGCTCACAGCAACCTCAATCTCCTGGGCTCAAGCGATCCTACTGCCTCAGCCTCCCAAGTAGCTATGACTACAGACATGCGCCACCATGCCCAGCTAATTTTTTGTATATATCTTTTTAGTTGGCCAATTAATTTCTTTCTATTTATGGTAGAGATGGGGTTTTGCTCTTGCTCAAGCTGGTTTCGAACTCCTGACCTCGAGCAGTCCGCCCGCCTACGCCTTCCAGAGTGCTAGGATTACAGGCGTGAGCCACCACGTGCGGCCTGCATATTATTTTCTGACTTGCTTTTTCCATTTAAGAATCTGTGAACAGGCCAGGCGCAGTGGCTCACGCCTGTAAATCCTAGCTCTCTGGGAGGCCGAGGTGGGTGGATTGCTCAAGGTCAGGAGTTCAAAACCAGTCTGAGCAAGAACGAGACCCCATCTCTACTATAAGTAGAAAGAAATTAATTGGCCAACTCATATATATAGAAAAAATTAACTGGGCATGGTGGCACATGCCTATAGTCCCAGCTACTCGGGAGGGTGAGGCAGTAGGATCGCTTGAGCCCAGGAGTTTGAGGTTGCTGTGAGCTAGGCTGACGCCCCGGCACTCACTCTAGCCTGGGCAACAAAGTGAGACTGTCTAAAAAAAAAAAAAGAATCTGAGCACAAGATTTTTTTCTATATCATAATTTTTCTGCATCTTTACAGGTATTAAAAAAATAACATATTGGCTAATGGGGTGGGGGGAACATCAGTATGTGGAATTTAAGACCTTTCTATGTCCCCCTCCTCCCAGAATATTCCTCATACTTTGACTGTCTTTTTATATTTTCCTGTATGCGTGTTTTATCCATCTTCAATGAAATGTTTTTTCTTTATTCTGTTGACCAATATTACCCTTGTAGAATTGTAGAGCTAATGGAAACATAAGTATTTTATGACACCTGATTTGAGGATATAAAATGATGACTCTCATCCTATTCTAAATAACTAAGCATAGATCATTTGAAACTTCTTTTTAGTGTGTTTTTATTGAATGAAAAATTAGTTTCAAAAACAAAGGCAAGAGAGGAGTTGAACAGACATTGATCCTTAGAAAGTTGTGTTGTTTTGTATTTTAAAAATACATTTGTAGGTAAAAAAACAATTTGCAAACATAGTCTAAGCATGCAAAATTAAGTAGCTTGAAAATTAGAACTGGAATACTTGATTAGAAAAGTTTTTGGCTTTATTTTGATTTACCTGGTGAAAAAAGGAAAAGAAAAAAGATGACCCTCTCTAATGTGTCTGATTCACCACCAGTTAAGTCTTTATAGAATGAAGCATTCTCAGTCATTCTTAAATTATTCTAAAATACTTGTGTTGATGAAAACGAGTATTTGGTAACCTTCTTCTCCCCTTCCCCTTCTAGGTCAGATGACCGATTTGATCCATACTGAGAAAGATCTGGTGACTTCTCTGAAAGATTATATTAAGGCAGAAGAGGATAAGTTAGAACAAATAAAAAAGTAAGCAAAGTGTTTTTACTTATCATGACTGACTCTACCTGGATGTTTTCTTCTTTTTTTTTTTTTTTATTTCAGCATATTATGGGGGTACAGATTTTAAGGTTTCAATAAATGCCCATTTCCCCCCCCCCCAAAAGTCTGAGTCTCCATCATGACCATCCCCAGATGGTGCACATCTACTCATTATGTATATATATACCCGCCCCCTCCCTCCACCTGCCTAATACCCTATTACTGTAGTACCTATGTGTCCACTTAGGTGCTACTCAGTTAATACCAGTTTGCTGGAGAATATATCTGGTGCTTGTTTTTCCATTCTTGGGATATTTCACTTAGTAGTATGGGTTCCAGCTCTAACCAGGAAAATATAAGATGTGCTATATCACCATTGTTTCTTAGAGCTGAATAGTACTCCATGGTATACATATACCACATTTTATTAATCCAATTCTTGGATTGATGGGCACTTGGGCTGTTTCCACAGCCTTGCAATTATGAATTGTGCTGCTATAAACATTCGAGTGCAGGTGTCTTTTTTGTAGAGTGTCATTGGATCTTTTGGGTAGATGCCCAGCAATGGGATTGCTGGATCAAATGGTAGATTCACTTGTATCGCTTTAAGGTATCTCCATATTACTTTCCACAGAGGTTGAACTAGTTTGCAATCCCACCAGCAGTGTAGGAGTGTTCCTCTCTCTCGCAACCACGCCAGCATTTATTGTTTGGAGATTTTTTGATAAAGGCCATTCTCACTGGGGTTAAGTGATATCTCATTGTGGTTTTGATTTGCATTTCCCTGATGATTAAGATGTTGAGCATTTCTTCATATGTTTGTTGGCCATTCTTCTGTCTTCTTTAGAAAAATTTCTGTTCAAGTCCTTTGCCACTTTTTTTTTTTTTTTTTTTTTTTTTTTTAGACAGAGTCTCGCTTTGTTGCCCAGGCTAGAGTGAGTGCCGTGGCGTCAGCCTAGCTCACAGCAACCTCAAACTCCTGGGCTCAGGCATCTTCTGTCTCAGCTCCCGAGTAGCTGGGACTACAGGCATGCGCCACCATGCCGCTAATTTTTATATATATATATCAGTTGGCCAATAGTTTCTTTCTATTTATAGTAAGACGGGTCTCGCTCTTGCTCAGGCTGGTTTTGAACTCCTGACCTTGAGCAATCCGCCCGCCTCGGCCTCCCAGAGAGCTAGGATTACAGGCGTGAGCCACTGCGCCCGGCCTCTGCCCACTTTTTAATGGGGTTATTTGATTTTTTCTTCCTGATTTTAGTGAGTTCTACCTGAATGTTTTCTTTCTCAAGCTAAAATATTCTCTTGAGTAGAGATGAAAGCCATCTTTCAGTCTTACAAAACCAGCTGAAATGGCTAAAACAGAAGCACAGAAAACAAGAATTAGGCCTCTGCCAAGGTTCACATGGAAAAACATGGATTAAGATAAGAATATGGATGGATATAGGGAATTGACTGACAGATTTTAAAGTGTTGCTAGTATTTTCTTCTATATTCCTTTAACCTCCGCAATCAAGCCTCCTGCTGGAGCAATTTTCCAATTCTATTTATCCTTCACTCCTGTGGTTCCATTGTAGAGATTATAGTGATAAGGGTGGTTAGTATTATTTAATTGATAGTTTTTCTCAAATACTAATTTATTTTCAGTTGACTCAAGTTCATAGTTAATCCTGATCTGAGAATTCCTGTCTTTTATCTAATGAGTAGCTAAGTATTCAGTTTTTTTGTTTTAAAATATAGTTTCTAGATACTGGATATAAAAATTCGGTATAAGTTGATTTTAACGAACATGTAACTGAATTTGGGTTGGGCTAATTTGTACTTTGTAATCAGTTACAAATTTGTACTTTGTAATAATCAGTTCCCCATTGGCCTTAGGGACCTATGGGGAAATGAATTTTTAGATTTTTACTGGAGGGATACAATCACAGCTTTACTAAGAAGGGAGGTTCCATTTACTGTAACCATTTGGGAGAAACAAAACTAAAACAAAAGATCTAATGGTTGTATTTTGATTCTGTCAAGTTAGAATTTTATCCATAAAAAGATACTGCTTTTTTTCTTTTTTCTTTTTTTTTTTTTTTTGAGACAGAGTCTCACTTTGTTGTCCAGGCTAGAGTAAGTGCCGTGGCATCAGCCTAGCTCACAGCAACCTCAAACGCCTGGGCTCAGGCGATCCTTCTGCCTCAGCCTCCCCAGTAGCAGGGACTATAGGCATGTGCCACCATGCCTGGCTAATTTTTTCTATATATATATCTTTTTAGTTGGTCAATTAATTTCTATTTTTAGTAGAGACGGGGTCTCGCTCAGGCTGGTTTCAAACTCCTGACATTGAGCAATCCGCCCGCCTCGGCCTCTCAGAGTGCTAGGATTACAGGCATGAACCACCATGCCTGGCTAAGATATTGCTTTTTAAAGAGCCTGTATAATTTACGTTTTGTGTGTGTGTGAGACAGTGTTTCTCTGTCACCCAGGCTTGAGTGCAGTGGCGCCATCATAGCTCACTGCAACCTCTAACCATGCTCAAGTGATCCTCCTGGCTCAGCCTCCAGAGTAGCTGTTCTTGCCACCATGCTCAGCTGATTTTTAAATTTTTTGTAGAGGTCGGATCTCTCTGTGTTGGCTGGTCTTGAACTCCTGGCTTCAAGCAGTCCTCCTGCCTCTGTCTCTCAAAAGTGCTGGAGTACAGGCATGAGCCACCAAGCCAGGTCTATAATTTTACTTTAAAAAGAAATTGTAGTTATAGTTTAACTCAAAAACCTCTAGTCTTGGCTGGGCACGGTGGCTCACACCTGTAATCCTAGCACTCTGAGAGGCCGAGGTGGGCGGATTGCTCGAGGTCATGAGTTCGAAACCAGTCTGAACAAGTGCGAGACCCTGTCTCTACTATAAGTAGAAAGAAATTAATTGGCCAACTAATATATATGGAAAAAATTAGCTGGGCATGGTGGCGCATGCCTGTAGTCCCAGCTACTCGGGAGGGTGAGGCAGTAGGATTGCTTTTGCTTGAGCCCAGGAGTTTGAGGTTGCTGTGAGCTAGGCTGACGCCACGGCACTCACTCTACCCTGGGCAACAAAGTGAAACTCTGTCTCAAAAACAAAACAAAACAAAAAACATGTAGTCTTTTTTTTTTCCTGAGTGCTTTTACTCAATTGTATTTTTTCTTATGAAGTGTATGTACAACTCCTTTTTTATGTTTTACATCTATAGATGGGCAGAGAAGTTAGATCGGTTAACCAGCACAGCGACAAAAGATCCAGAAGGATTTGTTGGGCATCCTGTAAATGCATTCAAGTTAATGAAACGTCTGAACACTGAGTGGAGTGAGTTGGAGAATCTGGTCCTTAAAGATATGTCAGATGGTAAGTCTGAGGAGACTAATGAGCCAAAACGTAAAGCAATATTGCTATCACTTATAGAAATGCTAAAATTGGGGATAGATTCAGTCCCCAAAGCATCAAGTTTGATGTTGTAATTGGATTATTGCATGGTTGCATTTGGTTTGAATAGAGTGAATTTAGTCAAGATTCTGAATTCTTTTATTAAAGAAGAAGTGGTTTCTATTGTTGGTGATTAACACTGGTGCTTTGTGTTTTGAAATCTATAAAAGTGAACAGATTGTTTGGCATGTAGCTTCATTTCTGAGAGTTTTTTTAGGGGGTATTACCTTCATACTTTAAAAATTTATGTATCTTTAATCAATTTTTAAAATGTTGGGAGTGTTACTATGAAGAGAAGTGTTAGCTTTGTTTTAACTACTATTTTGAAGCTTAGGATTATTTTACTCAATGTAGACAATAAATTAAAAGGCTGAGGCTGCAAACAGTGATAATGAATAAGTCTTTTTATGTGAAACGATAAAATTATAGTTAAAATGTTTAGATATTTTGGATATTTTAGTGACAGACATAGAAAACTAAGTCTGGAGTTTAAGGAGGTAAAGGGATTATGCTTAATACATAGTAGAGGCTCAAATATTTATTGAATTATAGGTGGCAAAAAAAAGAGGGAAAGAGCTGAGCTTGCTATGTAGATGAAATACTTCAAGGATGCTTACTGGTGTTTGTAAGCAGTGAAGTAAACTATTATGCATAGGACAGGAAACCTTGAAAAGAAAAATTAAGGCAAGTACTTGTGAATACTTCTTCACTATGAGAAGGAAATGCCTTTGGTTATTTTCTCTACTATATAACACTCTGAGAACATTTTTAAGGAAGTGTGTGTGTATGTATGTATGTATACATGCATGTATCTTTTTTTTTCCTCTTTTTATTAGAGGATTTAAGCAACTTCTTGGATTTTGTTTGGGGCATAAGAAACATTAGAGTCTTCTGTAAAATGTTAAAACTTTTTAAAATTAAATTTTTTTTTAAATTTCAGCATATTATGGGCCATAAATGTTTAGGTTACATATATTGCCTTAAAAATGTTAAAACTTACCAGTAAAATTCTATGTGAGATTGTGACTGAACGTTGGTATTAAAACTAAAAAATATGGTTAGAAACAGCAGGTCAAAACTCCTAAGCTGATCAGTAGTGGGATCATGCCTGTGAATAGCCACTGCACTTCAGCCTTGGCAACACAGCAAGACCTGGTCTTCAAAAGAGGGGGGAAAATCCACATAAAAAATATGCTTAATAAGAACTGTAGCTGTGAGCCAGTTGTTCATTTATATATTTCCATTAACATAAAAAATGCCAGATCTTTTGCTATTCAAAATACATATAGTTGATTATAAGTTAATGAGAGGAAAGGGAAGCCTCATGTCTAATTTTTATTTGCACATATTATTACAATATTTGCACCTATATTATTACAATTTTAAACCACTTTTTGGATTTTTTTCAGTTTGTTTCTTAAGTATTTAGCATCCATTTTTCTTAAGGATTATATAGTTATCAGTAATTGCTTTGTTTGATTTTTGCTATACTTTATATAAAACTTCTTTAAATTAAGATTAAGTTTTTAATCCTAGCACTCTGAGAGGCTGAGGTGGGAGGATTGCTCAAGGTCAGGAGTTTAAAACCAGCCTGAGCAAGAGTGAGACACCATCTGTACTAAAAATAGAAAGAAATTAATTGGCCAACTAAAAATATATAGAAAAAATTAGGTGGGCATGGTGGCACCTGCCTGTAGTCCCTGCCTGAGGCTGAGGCAGGAAGATCACTTGATCCCAGGAGTTTGAGGTTGCTCTGAGCTAGGCTGATGCCATGGCACTCTAGCCCAGACAACAGAGTGTGACTCTGTCTCAAAAAAAAAAAAGATTAGGTTTTATATATAGGAAATATTGATTGATGAACACTATATTTGATAATTAAACAGGTCTAAATATTTTTTAATAAACTAGCTGTTGATCTTAAATGTGTAATTGACAACATCTCTTTCTTCCCCTTAAAGAATTCTACCAAACTTTATATATTTACATATTTATATAATGTGTGCTACATAAAAGAAAACCTTTCTTTTATGCACAGGTTTTACTTATGATCTGTTATCTGAAAGTATAGTTGGTTACCAATGTATGTCATTGTCAGATTGATAAATCTGTTCATTTCTCAAGCTTAGTGCAGGCACTTTTTGTTTCTTGCTATACTGTATAACTGTATAACTCAGTTATTGTGTTAGTTGGTCTTTACCTACTAATACAGATATAATTAGACCTCAGATTACATAAACAACATTGGAAAGGGTTTGAGAAGTTTGAATAAGTTAGAGGTATGTTAAGTCTCATTCAAGCTGGGCGAGGTGGCTCACGCCTATAATCCTAGCACTCTGGGAGGCTGAGGCTGGCGGATTGCTTGAGCTCAGGAGTTCGAAACCAGCCTGAGCAAGAGTGAGACACCTGTCTCTACTATAAATAGAAAGAAATTAATTGGCCAACTAATATATATAGAAAAAATAAGCTGGCCATGGTGGCACATGCCTGTAGTCCCTTGAGCTCAGGAGTTTGAGGTTGCTGTGAGCTAGGCTGACGCCAGGGCACTCACTCTAGCCTGGGCAACAAAGTGAGACTCTGTCTCAAAAAAAAAAAAAAAAAAAAGTCTCACTCAGTGTATTTAATTTTTTCTTGTTGAGATATGAAACTTTTGTGGTATGGTGGAAATGATAAAATAGATTTGGAAAAATCCTTATAAAGACTGTGTATTAGAAGTCTGTGAGGTTTTACAGCCTTTTTTTTTTTTTGAGACAGAGTCTTACTCTGTGGCCCTGGTTTAGAGTGTACCATGTTTCCCCGAAAATAAGACAGGGTCTGATATTTATTTTTCCTCAAGAAGACACCCTAACGCTTATTTTCAGGGGATGTGTTATTTTTTTTAAGTACAGTACAACAATCTACATTTATTCAAATATAGTTAAGTCATCTTCTTCTGGAACATCATCATAACTCTCCAAACCCTGAATTCCATCCTGAATTTCTTGTGACTCTATTTCCTTTAGAACCACTGGTCCCAATCTCTCATGTCGAGGAATAGAGGTCTCATGAGGCAAATGAGAAGGGCTGCTCGTCTTCTTTACCACTCTGCCACGAAATGCATGGGTTGTGCAGATAAGCTGCGTAGCCACACCCATCACTAGGTCTTATTTTCAGGGAAACACGGTAGTAGCATCATTGTAGCTCACTGCAACCTCAAACTCCTGAGCTCAAATGATACTTCTTCCTCACTCATCTTCCTGAGTAGCTGGGACTACAGGCATGCGACACAACACCCAGCTAATCTTTCTAGTTTTTGTGGAGATGGGGTCTCAACATTTGTTCAAACTGATCTTGAACTCCTGAGCTCAAGCAATCCTCCCACCTCGACTTCCCAGAGTGCTAGGGATTACAGGGATGATCCGCCATGCCTGGCTGTTTTAGCATATTTTAAAAAAATATTTTTATACTGTTTTCCATAGATACCATGGTGATTGACTTTTTTTCCCCTTCTTTTCCTTTTTCTTTTTCTATTTCAAGGCTTTATCTCTAACCTAACCATTCAGAGACAATACTTCCCTAATGATGAAGATCAGGTTGGGGCAGCCAAAGCTCTGTTGCGTCTCCAGGACACCTACAATTTGGATACAGATACCATCTCAAAGGGTAATCTTCCAGGTAAGATAACTCTTCTAGTCTATAAAAAACTATCACTTGACTTTTCTGTTCAGTCCATTAGGACAATGTTAATACAAAAAAGACTTTTGTATTTTAAGATTTTAAACTATGGTGTGTTTCATAGCCTTCGAGGATGAAAGAACCATCTTCCCTTTCTCTTAGGACTTAATAGTTGTGGATATGCCTCTAGCTTGTTACTGTGAAAGCTTGTATTTATAGAGACTAACTTAAGTAGGCAATTTTAATGTATAATAGAGAGAAACTATCATTTTTCCAAATGTTTTTCTTCAGAATACTACTTGAGTGCTTTGTATGTAAAGCTATAAGAGTTCTGGCCAATTTAGTGATTCCTTGAAGGGTATTCAGTCAAAATTTATTAAAGAAAACACCATTGTTTCTTTCTCCACCAATTTCCTTTGTGATATTATCAGACACTTAAGTAATGTAAAAGATTATATCTGTTTTATCAGAGAAATGTAGTCTAGTCTACAACTGATAGTTTCTTTTAAACACTTTATTTATTCTTTTAGAGTCATAACTTCTAGTTTAATATGGATTTAGTCTCAGAACTATATTTTCAGAGGGAAGTGTTATTAGGTAAGCAGTATTTAATTTATCGTGTAGTTTGTTATTTTTTCACATACTTGTCATTTTTTTTTTTGTTTGTGTTAGAAAGGGAACTATGTGATTTTCTTTATAAGGCATAAAAAGAACCCTGGAGGACGTAACTTTCTTCGTTTTGCTGTTATTTATAAAACTTCTTTTATTATGGAAAATGTCAAACATCACACACACATACAAATAAAGGTAATAACATAATGAGCCTCATGCATCCATCACTGAGCTTCAAAAGTTTTTAACATTTGCCATTCTTGTTACATCTATTCTCACTATCCCTTCTTTTTGTTGTTTTGATTGGAGTATTTTCAAAGCAAATCCTAGACATCAGGTCATTTTATCCATAAATAATTCAATATGTATATATATCTAACTGATCAGGTCTTTTTAAAAAATAACATAACCATTTCCTATTATCCTGCCTAACTAAATTACCAAGTCAATATTCAGTTTCTTTGGTGATCTCAAAAATGTTCTTTTACAGTTGCATTTTTTGGTTATGTCTCTTAAATCTCTTTTATTCCCCTCTCCTTTTTTTTTTTTTTCCTATTTATGACATTAATAATTTGAGAAAACCTGGTAAAATGTTCTGTGGAATGTCCCACATACTGGAATTGGCTGATTTCTTCTTTGGTGGTTAACTTGTTCCTCTACTGCCTGTGTTTCCTGCAAACTCTTTAGAGGTTAAGGCTTGATTAGATTCAAGTTAAGTTTTTTTTTTTTTTTAAGGAGACAGAGTCTCACTTTGTTGCCCAGGCTAGAGTGAGTGCCGTGGCATCAGCCTAGCTCACAGCAACCTCAGACTCCTGGGCTCAAGTGATCCTACTGCCTCAGCCTCCCGAGTAGCTGGGACTACAGGCATGTGCCACCATGCCCGGCTTATTTTTTATATATATATATTTTTTTTTTAGTTGGTCAATTAATTTCTTTCTATTTTTAGTAGAGACGGGGTCTTGCTCAGGCTGGTTTCAAACTCCTGACCTCGAGCAATCCGCCCGCCTCAGCCTCCCAGAGTGCTAGGATTACAGGCGTGAGCCACCGCGCCCGGCTCAAGTTAAGTTTTTAATTAATTCCAGAGGTGGCACTATGAACTTTCTGTTGAATTGCATGAACTGACACCCAATATCTTGTCACACTTTTTGTGATGCTCATTGAAGAGTGGGGTTCAACTGTGAGAGCCTCATCTCTCCATGTAAAGTTCTCTTTGAGTTTCATCTAATGGTTTTGGCAGCCTTTGGCAACTGTAGTGGTTTATTACCTAGAACCACTATAACATTAGGGGTTGCAAATGGGTGATTTTTCTCATTCCATCATTTCTTTTAGTATTAATAGCTGGAATTTATAAATAAGAATGTTCCTTCATGAACCATTTGGTTACCTTAAACTGTAGTTTATACAGGAAATGTAGGATAAATCTATAATTATTCTTCTTTATCAGTTTTTAGAGTAATGAGTTGATATCCTGACAACTTTCAGTAGTGACCAGTGATTTTTATCTGAAGTATCATGAATTCAGGGATTTTTATATTTCAGTCCATTATATCATTATTTCTTTGATGCTTACTTATATTATCCCATTTTAGGCCAGTGGGAACCTCTTCAGATTGGCACTTTTGTCTTTTTGAAATGATCATATTATGCTTTGGTAGCATGGAAGTAGCTCAGGCTAGAGTACCATTGGCTTTTCACAGGTGTGATCATAGTGCACTTACAGCCTTGAACCTCTGGGCTCAAGTGATCCTCCAGCTTCAGCAGCGTGCAAAGGGAGCCCAAGCCTTGATTCCTTTTAACAAGTAGTGACATTTAAGCAGCAGTCTGGCTAGGTTCTAGGTGTGTTTATTGCTATTGAATTTGTAATTTATTCCAGGTCTTTTCAATGAACAGAGATAGCAAATATAAGTTGATATTATTACTCCAATTCAAATTGAGACTACAGAGTTCATACTTAAATCTCTTTTCTGTTTTAAAAATCTTGGTTCCTAATGACCATTAGCATAATTACTTCATTGTATTATCTATAATATGCTTAAAATAATCTCAAAATAATAGTACCTATATTATTAATAACATCGAGAATACTGAGTGCAGTTTTTTGTACTTTTATTTATTTTTATTTATTTATTTTTTTGAGACAGAGTCTCACTTTGTTGCCCGGGCTAGAGTTCTGTAGTGTCAGCTTAGCTCAAGCGATCCTCCTGCTTCAGCCTCCCAAGTAGCTGGAACTACAGGCATGCACCACCATGCCTGGCTAATTTTTTCTATATATTTTTAGTTGGCCAATTAATTTCTTTCTATTTTTAGTAGAGACAAGGTCTTGCTCTTGCTCAGGCTGGTTTTAAACTCCTGACCTTGAGCAATCCACCTGCCTCGGCCTCCCAGAGTGCCAGGATTACAGGCGTGAGCCACTGTGCCCGGCCTTTTTGTACTTTTTATCCTTAGAATATATCGCACTAGATATGATCAGTCAAAATACTGTTTTAAAGACACGTAAAGTAATTCAGTTCCTTGTATAGTTATGCCCTCAACTTGTTAAACAGATAGGTTCATTTATTTCAGTATCTTTTCCTCAATTTTTAGGGATTTTTTTCTTTTGATTTATTGTTTTTAATTATGTAAAACTTTTATATTCTTTCACAGTCAAACTGTACTAATAAGGTACATTTACAGAAGTCTCACTTTAATTCTTGTATTCTTCAACCTATTCCCTTCTTTTTCCTGTATGTAACCATTTTATTTTTTCTATTTCCAATTTTTTTGAAAATAAAAGCAAATATATAAAGTCCTATTTCCTTTCAACATATCCCCAAAAGGTAGCATACTGTAAATACTGTTTTGTACTTTTTTGTCTTAATTTATTAATATGCCCCAGATATCCCTTCATATCATATATAGAAATCCTCATTTTTTTTTTACAGCTGCATGTTACTCTATTTTGTGGAGGTTCCAGTTTAACTAGTCCCCTTTTGGTGAACATCTGGTTTGTTTGCAGCCTTTTGTTGTTAAAAAATATTACTGTGATACACAGTATTATTTGTACATAGGCTATTTTGTATTTTTTGCTAAGTGTGATCTTTGGGATATTTTTCTAGAAGTGGTGCCACTGCATTAAAGAGTAAATGAGTAGATAATTTTGCTAATATTGTCCCCATTATCCTCTACAGGAGTTATCATTTTGCATTTCTACCAGCAATATATGAGAGTGCCTGTTTCTCCCATGGCATCACCAAAAAATGTCAAATATGGAAATTTTTGCCAATCTGGTAGTAGTTTAGTTTAATTTAGATTGGCTTATATGTATACCAGTTTCTTTGTTCATCATTCTTTTTTGGGGGGGAAGGAGGACAAATTCTAAAAGAGTTATAATACTTGTTCATCTTTCTTTCTTGTACCTCAGACTTTACTTTTGGAATTTTCCTCCTTGAAACACATCCTTAAGAAGCCCTTATATGTACTGTTATTTGTTTGGCCTGAGATTCTTTGTGCTTCCTGAATCTGAAGTTTCGTGTGTTTAATTCTGGAAAAATTTCTACCGCCATAGCTCTTTTAATATCTGCTGACTTTGCTCATAGTGGCTTATTTCATCACATGCTTTGTAATTTTAAGTTGTATGTGCTTCAGCTGGTATCATCTGTGGGGATATTGCAAAGCCTGGGGCAAGGGTGCATTTTCCAGAGTACAAATGTTGCTTCTGCTAGATGCCCTATGATATTACCAACCTAGGACCATTTTAAGTTAATTTCTTGGCTTTAGTTTCCTAGACCATTTAGACAATATAAATTTGAAATCAAAACCTCCCTGAGGTCATGCCTATGGAATTCTGTTGGGAATTTTTTTTTCCTACTTATAGTATAGACTGAGAAAATAAGTTCTTTTGTTGTTTGGCTTTGCCAGCTACATATTTTTTCTAGTTCATTCTTTCATTTCATAAGCTGTAATTCTTTAAGGGTTTACTTTATGTGGGCTTCTCAGAATCAGCTTGTTACTTTGCATGGGCTGGAGGCTTTATCTCCTATCCCCTGCTTGGTAATGAAAAATCAAACCATTAGGTTTCTGATTCTGGTGACTGCCTCTAAGGTAGATGCAGCTTCATACTTGGCTTACCTCTTTGGGTTTCAAGTTCTTTTTTAGTTTTGGCTCCAGGAAATTTAATTTTTGTGAACTTGGCTATAGAATAAATGGATAATTGTTGTATTTTACCCAGCATTTCTGTTTTATATCAGAAACTTTTTCCCCATAATTTCTGAGCCAGAAATAATTCTCTATTATTTATTTAACATGGTATAAACTGAAACAATACAAAATACTCAAGTCCTTAAAAATCTCCAAGTAACTCATCTCATAAAGATGGAATGTTACATGATTGTTATTCTGTGCATTCAGAATATTCTTTATCATTCAGAGTTGTGCTTTTTAAACTTATTTCTAATAAGTTCTTTTTTCCTATTTTTCTTTGTTCTTATAGAAGTAATAAGGGTAATTGTATAATATTTGAATAGATAAAAAGGCATAAAGGTTTAGGAAACAACTTGTAATCTTCCCACCAAGGTAACAATTTAATATTTTGATATAGTTCTGTCTAAATTTTTCTGGCTTTTCTATATGGCATTTAAAATTATCTTTCTTAATCAAAAATACTATTATGTTGACATACCTGCCTGTATATTTCCTTGCTTTTACCTTATTATAGTTTTTTTGTTTGTTTGTTTGGTTGGTTGGTTTTTGTGAAATAAGGTCTCACTGTGTTGCCCAGACTGTAATGCAGTGTGATCACAGCTCACTGTAACCTTCAACTCCCAGGCTAATGCCATCCTCCTAGCTAAGCCTCCTGGGTAGCTAGGGCAACAGGTGCATCCCACCATGCCTGGCTAATTTTTTAAAATTTTGTTTTAGAGATGGGATCTCACTCTGTTGCCCAGGCTGATCTTGAACGCCCAGGCTCAAGTGATCCTCCTGCCTTTGCCTCTCAAACTGCTGGGCTTGTAGGCATGAACCACTGTGCCCAGAGCTTATTACAGTTCTTAGCTATAATATTTAGTTCAGCCACAAAAATCTTTTATACAAGAAGGTATTCTCTCTAACCCCCAGTATTAAATCTCAAGGAAATAATTGAAAAATAGTAGTATTAAGCCATAGGATATGAAGTTTTTATTCTTAGTGCTAAATTTCTTTCTTTTTTTTTTTTTTTTTTTTGAGACAGAGTGTCGATTTGTTGCCCAGGCTAGAGTGAGTGCCATTAGCTCACAGCAACCTCAAACTCCTGGGCTCAAGCGATCCTCCTGCCTCAGCCTCCCAAGTAGCTGGGACTACAGGCATGTGCCACCATGCCCGGCTAATTTTTTCTATATATATATTAGTTGGCCAATTAATTTCTTTCTATTTATAGTAGAGGCGGGGTCTCGCTCTTGCTCAGGCTGGTTTCGAACTCCTGAATTCGAGCAATCCGCCCGCCTCGGCCTCCCAGAGAGCTAGGACTACAGGCGTGAGCCACCCAGCCTGGCCAAAATTTCTTAAAGGGTTAAATAAGTGACAAATACCTAAAATATAAATTTCAGGTTACAAATTACTTGTCACAAATTTCAAGTGACAAATTACCTCAGTAAATACGGACCATTATTTTAAGGTATTTTGCTTCATGGTGGTTTAAATTTCATATTTCTTCAATGGTTAATGAAGCTAAATATTTTCCCAGTGTTTTGCTTTTCTATTTATATTTTATCACATGTAAACTGTCAGATACCTCTTTTTCCTAAAAGAGAAGTTTCACTTCAGAAGCCAGTTGACATATACCAAGAACACAAGTGATAAAAGATTAATAAATTAGACTCCTTCAAAATTAAAATTTTGTGCTTCAAAGTATTAATATACCATCAAGAAAGTGAAAAGATAACCCATATTATGGGAAAAAATACTTGAAAATTTTATGACTGATAAGGGATTTGTATCCAAAATATCTAATGAACTCTAACAAATCAATAATAAAAAATGAATAACTAAATTTTTTAAATAGGCAAAAGATTTCAATTGACAAATTTCCAAAGAAGATCCACAAATGGACAAATGAGCACATGAAAAGATGTGCTCATCAGTCCTTAGGGAAATAGAAATCAAACTCACAATGAAATATCGCTTCATGCCCACTAGACTGTCTATAATAAAAAAGAAGGATCATCATAAGTATTGACAAGGATGTGGAGAAATTGGAATTTCATACATTGCTGGTGGGAATGTAAAGTGGTATAGCCACTTTGGAAAAGTTTGGCAGTTCCTCAAAATGTTAAGCATAGAGTTGTCCTAGGACCCAACATTCCACTGCTACATATATATTGGAGAAATGAAAACATATGTCCTCACAAAAATCTGTATACAAATGTTCATAGTAGCATTATTCATAAAAGCCAAAAAAGAAAAAAGGAAACAACCCAAATGTCTATCAGCCAATAAACAAAATGTGGTTTGTCCGTGCAACAGACAATAAAAAGCATACTACAGTACGGATGCATCTTGAAAACAATGTGCTGAGTGGAAGTGGTTAGTCATAAAAGACCACATATTGTATGATTCCATTTGTATGAAATGTCCAGAACGGGCAAATCTATAGAGACAGAAAGTAGGTTAGTGGTTGTCTAGGGTCAGGTAGGATGGGGGAGATAATGGGTGAGTGACTGTTAATAGTTACAGTTTCTTTTGGAATGATGAAAATTTTCTAAAGTTAGATTGTGGTGATGGTTGCACAGCTCTGTAAATATACTAAGAACTATTGTAATCTTTAAATGAGTGAACTTTATGGTATTTAGATCATATGTCATTAATGCTATTTAAAAGAAAGAAGCCAGTTGACAGGTTGGCCTCTCCTGTATGCTCATCTCTTGCTAGATTGTTTAGGAGTGAGATAGATATATATTATATGGTGCTTCCTACTGTGTTAGAAAATAGCATATTTCAACTTAATTTTTTTGATGTTTCATTTTGTTATGATGACTGATAATTTAAGTTCTGGGTCCTCTAGGTCCCACGTCCCCTCTTACCAGCTGTATAATTCTTGTCATATTACATTACCTTATAGATTGTTCCTTTACTTATAAAATTACGGTAACTTTTGCTTTTCTCACCTCAGAGGATTATTGTGAAGTTTAAATAAAAGTGAGATAGCATTTTGAAAGCTGTATAGTCTTAAATAAATGTACAGTAGTATTAAGATTCCTAAAGTTCTCTGTATTTTCTTTTAATAGGAGTAAAACACAAATCTTTTCTAACAGCTGAGGACTGCTTTGAGTTGGGCAAAGTAGCCTATACAGAAGCAGATTATTACCATACAGAACTATGGATGGAACAAGCACTAAGGCAACTGGATGAAGGCGAGGTTTCCACCATAGATAAAGTCTCTGTTCTAGATTATTTGAGCTATGCAGTATACCAGCAGGGAGACCTGGATAAGGCGCTTTTGCTCACAAAGAAGCTTCTTGACCTAGGTATGTTATCTGGGCCTAATTTAAGCCTATAGTTATATTGGGGGATATATAATATATTTTCTACGTGTCTCCATCCATATACCTTTGATACTTTTTATTTGTTAGAAGTCAGGAACCTTATCTGTCAAACATACTTTATCCTCTCCGTGTTTATTCTCAAAGTAAATGGCAACTGATTTTTCTCAGTGAACATTACTGCAACAATGGCTGTGTTTCTCTTTCTCTGCTCTGTATTCTCCAGGAATTTCAAAACCTAACCTAGCTAACTCTGTCAAAAATGTTTATTTCAAATGTTAATCAGTTTCATTTGAAGGATGTTTTGGTTTATTGCATTTTATATTGAAAAAGAAAGTGATTTAAAATAAATGGACTGAAAATATATTTGATTGTCATATTCAAATGTTAGAAAATGTATACCTTATGAGAGAATGTTATCACTAGTACTTTGAATAGAGAGATACTGTTTCCTCAAGTATGGTCCAAGGACCATGTGCATCAGAATTACTTGGGTACTTGTTAGAAATGAAAATTCCTTGTTCTCTACCCTGGACCTACTAAATCATAATCTCTGAAGATGGAGTCCAGAATTTATATGATAATAAGTTCAGGCAGCCATAGGTATATAATGTAGCTTTTAAAACTTTTAAAACTTAATTTTTTTTTTTTTGGAGTCAGAGTCTCACTCTGTTGCTCAGACTAGAGTGCCATGGTGTTAACCTGGCTCACAGCAACCTCAAACACCTGGGCTTAGGCGATCCTTCTGCCTCAGCTTCCCAAGTAGCTGGGACTATAGGCATGCGTCACTATGCCTGGCTAATTTTATATATATATATTTTAGTTGGTCAATTAATTTCTTGCTATTTTTAGTAGAGATGGGGTCTCGCTCTTGCACAGGCTGGTTTCGAACTCCTGACCTTGAGTGATCCACATGCCTCGGCCTCACAGAGTGCTAAGATTACAGGCATGAGCCACTGCGCCCAGCCAAAAATTAATTAATTTTATGAATAGGAAAATACATGTATGTTAGAAGAGTCAAATGGCTCAAAAGGATTGATCATCTTAAAACAAACTTTGATAATGGGTTATTTTCTAGTTGGGTGAATTCATAAATTGATACATTAGTTCAAGTCACTTTTATTTTCCTTTCAGTATTTTCCAGTGATTTTTTCCTCCCAATTTAAAACATACTTTGTATTCTTTATAGAAAGTTTATCAAAACGAAAAAAGATACAAAAGAGTCATCCATAAGCCAATCACTCAAAGATACCTACACATTTTTGTTTCCTTGTAGTATGTACTCTTCCCTCCCCATGCACACACACCTTTCCCTTTCTTTTACAAGATTAGGCTTATATGGTGTATCATAACAGACACTATGAGCAGTTTTTGAAGGACAAAAAATATTTTACAATCTAGGGCTAAATTTCCTAAATAGTTACTGTCACAAGTAAAGTTTCTACATACCGTTCTGCCTTTTTTATTTGCTTGTGTGTGTAGTTGTTTAGACTTTTTCTTCCTGGATGGGCAGTGTAGTCCTCTTTTCCCCTACTAAAAGGTAGTTAAAAATTATGACTGGCAATTATGAGGCATTTAGTGGATTCCAGCTTTTTTGAAAATTATATCTTTAGCTTCCCTTTCCCTTCTTACCTACAAATTTGGGACTGAAATCCATTCAGCCCTCAGAAGTAGGCTACATTTATAATGTATCTGTGGTAAAGGTTGCTTTTGAACTACATATGCCCTGTTTTCCCTGTGATGAATACTTTTCAGTCTTATGAAAACCTTTTCCATTGCTTAAAATAAGTAGAATGAGCATGAATTTAAAATTCATTTAACATCATATGGAACATAGTTCCTTTGGCAATTTGTAAATTCTCAGAGTGGGAGCACTAGTTGCTACCTTGAAATAAATGGCTGTTTTTTTCATCTCCAGAACAGTTTTTCTATAGGGTGATATTTATATAGGGTGACTGTATGTCCTTATTTACATGGGGCAGTACTAGTTTACACCTGTTGTTTTGGTATAATAATTTTTATTAGTGCTTCCTTTCACAAAAGCAACCTAGTTTGAAAGATAAATGGTATGGTTACCTGTTTTTTTATATTACTGTATTCTGATGCTTAAACATGTGTAAACTTACCCATGGACATGCTTTCTTTCTCTTCTAATAGATCCTGAACATCAGAGAGCTAATGGTAACTTAAAATATTTTGAGTATATAATGGCTAAAGAAAAAGATGTTAATAAGTCTGCTTCAGATGACCAATCTGATCAGAAAACCACACCAAAGAAAAAAGGGGTTGCTGTGGATTACCTGCCAGAGAGACAGAAGTACGAAATGCTGTGCCGTGGGGAGGGTATCAAAATGGTAAAGTGGAAAAGCCAATTGTGTGTGTGTGTGAATGTATGTATGTATTTGTACATAGGTCTAGAGAATCGCAGTTCATTTATATTTAAGCCATGTGATAAAAATCAGAATGACTACATAAACTGTTTATAGCATGCCACACTACTTCAGTGTGGGTATCACATTTAGTATGTTCCAATTATTAGCAAAACAGCTTTAAAATATAGCTTGTAAATCATGTACTATCACATGCATTTGTGGTAATATTATCCTTTTCATAGATCAAAAAGGGTTATTTTCCAGGGTGAAGGAAAGTTTAAGGGTAGAGATAATTTTTCTTATATTTAATGCAAAAAAGATTTCAACAGTCTTAATTAGTACAATACACTATTCTAACCTATCTTATGAGATGTAACAGATTCATCTGTATAATAATTTCTTGTGGTATTGCTTCTAGTCAATTTAACAAGATTTCTTGGTGAAATATTTTAGTCTATTTAAGAAATACTCAAAAATGCAGAAAGACTTTCAACAGATTTTATTTTTAACGTTTATTTAATTTAATTTATTTTTTTAGAGACAGGGTCTCGCTCTGTTGCCTAGGCTAGAGTGTACTGGCCTGATCATAGCTCACTGTAACCTTGAACTCCTGGGCTCGATTATAGCTCATTGTAACCTCAAACTCCTGGGCTCAAGCAACCCTCCTGGCTCAGCCTCCCAAATATCTAGATTGGCCTAGTGGCTAATTTTATTTTTATTTTTGTAGAGATGGGGGTTCTCACCACATTGCCCAGGCTGGTCTCGAACTCCTGGCCTCAAGCAATCCTCCCATCTTGGCCTTCCAAAATGCTGGGATTACAGGTGTGAACCACCATACCCAGCCAACATTTATTCTTTAAAAGACCCAAATATTTCTATAAACATCCCTTTATTCATTAATATATATTTGTATTTATGTCTTTATAACTCAGAATGCCAGTTCTTCAGGACGTTAATAGATATAAGGCCAAAAAAAGAAAAAAGATTCAAGTCTGGGAAAAACATTTGTTAAACGACTTCAAACATAAGTTTTTGTTTAACCTCAGGACTTCTCAGAGCCCTTTTATGATAATGTACATTATGGATATGATATACATTGTTTTCTAATATTGATTATGGAACCTTTTAAAAAAAGGACTGTCATGTTGTAATACCATGCTTCCCTGAAAATAAGACCTACCCATAAAATAAACCCTAGCAGAATTTCTAAGCATTTGCACAACATAAGCCCTATCCCGAAAATAAAACCTAGTGATGGGCGTGGCTATGCAGCTTATCCGCACAACCCATGCGTTTCCTTGTTTCCTGGAGGACTGGTAAAGAAGATGAGCAGCCCTTCTTATCTGCCTCATGAGAGCTCTATTGCTCGACATGAGAGATTGGGGCCAATGGTTCTAAAGGAAATAAAGTCGCAAGACATTCAGGATGGAATTCAGGGTTTGGAGAGTTATGATGATGTTCCAGAAGAAGACAACTTAACTATATTTGAATAAATGTAGATTGTTGTACTGTACTTAAAAAAAATAACACATCCCCTGAAAATAAGCGTTAGGGTGTCTTCTTGAGGAAAAATAAATATCAGACCCTGTCTTATTTTCGAGGAAACTGGTACTGGTCAGTTGAATGCAGGCATGCATAGAAGGAGTGAATTTTTGGAGCAGGTGCTTTTAAGTGTAAATATTGAAAAGTGTTTAAATTTTTCTTTATTGTTAGTAAACTCAAGTTGAGCTTTACATTTTGATATTGATGACTGTTGACAGCTTAACCACTAATAGTAAATAAGTATGTAATATCTATGTTAATACCGATAGCTAGATTCATGGAGTCCTAGGAGGACATGCTTGCTTTTACTTTGGGAGCTAATGAGTAAATATAAATACAAGGATAGTGACACTTTGTTAGACTCATTAAACATCTTGTTTACTATTTCATTTCTAAATATTTTAGTATGTATCTTTTAAGGATAACTCAACAAGAAGAAAATGAAATAAAAAAAAGAACTTAGATTAACTACAATACTATTATGACACCTAAAAAATTCACAATCGTTTCATAATATCATCAAATATCTAGTTAGTATTCAAATTTCCAATTGTAAGCAAATTTTTTTTATTGCCATTAGTAACCCTTAAAGAAGAAGAGCAAAATAGAACTATAGGTATAAAACAGGAGTCTGCTAATTTGGCAGTTTATTAATATGACACATGTCAACTCTGCCTAAGATCAAAGGAACATTCTTTTTCGCAGAATAGTTAAATTCATTTCATCATTATATAAAAGACCTTTAAAAGACCTATAAAAGCCTTGCATTTGATTCTAGGTAAATATAGTGCATGGAGAATAAACATGAATCATTATTTGTTTTAATATGTTATTAGTATAATAATTAAAACAAAGTAATCATGTTCCTTCTTTGTGTATGACATACTTGTTCAATTAAGTAAAGAATCAGCAGTGAAGTAACTTATTAATATAATACATAGGTGGTTAAAGGGAATTTATGTGTTTTGTTGACTGCTCTATTTTTTTTTTTTTTTTTGAGACAGAGTCTCACTTTGTTGCCTGGGCTAGAGTGCCGTGGCTTCAGCCTAGCTCACAGCAACCTCAATCTCCGGGGCTCAGCGATCCTACTGCCTCAGCCTCCCGAGTAGCTGGGACTACAGGCATGCGCCACCATGCCCAGCTAATTTTTTGTATATATATTTTTAGTTGGTCAATTAATTTATTTCTATTTTTGGTAGAGACGGGGTCTCGCTCAGGCTGGTTTCGAACTCCTGACCTTGAGCGATCCGCCCGCCTCGGCCTCCCAAAGTGCTAGGATTACAGGCGTGAGCCACCGCGCCCGGCCTGACTGCTCTATTTTTATACCCCCTAATAAAAATACTTGGCTTTTTTGTTTAATAACTTATTTTCTCTTTTTCAGTGGTACCTATTTTCATAAAAAGTCTTTTTTTTTTTCTTTTGCCATAAGCATTTAACTGTGAGGTATTTAGGAAAACCTAGATTTATTTGTTTGGTTTTTACTTTTAGAAACTTTCTTTCTGGGTGCTTCCCAGTTACTTCATGAAGTTAAGAACAATGCTGGGCATTTATTTGACATTTCATAAGCATTTCATATTTCTTTCATATTTATAACCCTTGAACTTTATTTTGATGAGAGAAGGGTTAAAAGGGAAACCCTACCTTATTTATTTTTTTCTTTATTTTTTTTAAATTTTTTTTTTAGACAGAATCTCCCTGTTTCCAGGGCTAGACTGAGTGCCATGGTGTCAGCCTAGCTCAGAGCTCACAGTAAGCTCAAACTCTTGGGCTCAAGCAATCCTCCTGCCTCAGCCTCCTGAGTAGCTGGGACTGTAGGCGATCATCACTACATCCAGCTCATTTTTTCTATTTTTAGTAGGGATGAGGTCTCCCTCTTGCTTAGGCTGGTCTTGAACTCCTAAGCTCAAGCGAGCCTCCTGCTTCGGCCTCCCAGAATGCCAGCCCACCTTTTTTCTTATTTAAGGGCTCCCATCTCTCTCCCAGAAATAATCATTAATAAAATTTTAAAAATATTATTGCACAGTACTACTTCTTTTGTGTATTCTTCCAGAGATACTCTTTATGTATATGCAAACGTGATTATTGTTTCTTATCTACATAGGAATAGGCATTAAAAATATTGCTAGGCTTGGTGGCTCACATCTGTAATCCTAGCTCTTGGGAGGCTGAGGCAGGAGGATCGCTTGAACCCAGGAGTTCATGGCTGCAGTGAGCTATGTCTGATTGCGCCACTGCACTCCAGCTTGAACAGTAGAGCAAGACTCTGTCTCTTAAAAAAATAAAAATATTCTAATATATTTATCATTTTCTTAACTTTATGTTTAGACTCCACGGAGACAAAAAAAACTCTTTTGCCGCTACCATGATGGAAACCGGAATCCTAAATTTATTCTGGCTCCCGCCAAACAGGAGGATGAGTGGGACAAGCCTCGCATTATTCGCTTCCATGATATTATTTCTGATGCGGAAATTGAAATTGTCAAAGACCTAGCAAAACCAAGAGTAAATAATTTTTTCTTTTTCCTCTTCAATTTACTGTATTTGTGTATTAACTCTTTCTTTGTAAGATAATGGAAAGGATACTTGATATGGTAATAACTCCACAGATTGTTTTAGATATTGTCACCTCAAAGTAATGGAGTCATTAATGACTCTTTCTATGCCAGTTTATCATCAACACGAGTAACGTACCCTGCACCTGGCTTTTAAGCACTGAATTATGAAAATCATAGATGAGATTTTTATTCACATTTAACAAATTTGTATTTCACTGCCTTTCTGAAAAACTTTTCTACATATTTTGGAGTCTTTCAATCTCAGAGACTACTCAAAACCCAGCCTTTTCATATCTTCTGTATTTTTATGTGAAAGAATACTTGAAGTATTTTTATTCCCTATTAGGCACATTATCAGTAGAAAGATATAATTGGTCATAAACATCATGTTAATGTGAAATGGTGACATCATACCATTTACCTTAATAAGAAAAATAATCTGGCCGTGCACGGTGGCTCACGCCTGTAATCCTGGCACTCTGGGAGGCCGAGGCAGGCAGATTGCTTGAGGTCAGGAGTTCAAAACCAGCCTGAGCAAGAGTGAGACCCCCGTCTCTACTATAAATAGAAAGAAATTAATTGACCAACTAATATATATATGCGTGTGTGCGTGTATATATATATAATCAAATTAGCCGGGCATGGTGGCGCATGCCTGTAGTCCCAGCTACTTGGGAGGCTGAGGCAGCAGGATTTGCTTGAGCCCAGGAGTTTGAGGTTGCTGTGAGCTAGGCTGACGCCACGGCACTCACTCTAGCCTGGGCAACAAAGCGAGACTCTGTCTCAAAAAAAAAAAAAGAAAGAAAGAAAAATAATCTAATGTAAAAATAATCAACCCTATAAACTTAGTGTTTATCATAGAAATTTTTCTTTAATGAGAATGTAGGAAAGACTACCCTTTTTTGTACTGGCCTTTTTTCCCCATCAGGTTGTTCTTAAAACATGTTTGGTCTTGATAGTAAAATACAAACTGCCATCACTTTCATAAAGAGATTGTAAATAAATGCTAGGTAGATTTTTGTTTTCATCATACAGGAGTTGGCAATTTTTTTCTGTAAAGATCAATAGTAAATCTTGGGTTTTTTTTCCCCCCTTAAAGAGACAGTGTGTCTCACTCTTGTTGCCCAGGCTGGAGTGTAGTCACATACTCGTAGCTCACTGTAACTTTAAACTCCAGGGCCCAATCAATCTTCCTGCTTCAGCCTCCCAAGTAGCTGGGACTATAGGCATGTGCTACCACACCTTACTAATTTTTTAATTTTTTGTAGAGATGGGATCTTTGCTATCTTACCCAGAATCTTGAGCTCCTGGCCTCAAGTGATCCTTCTGCCTTGGCCTCCCAAAGTGCTGGGATTACATAGGCATGAGCCACTGTGCCCAGCTTGATAGTAAATATTTTTTAGGCTTTGCAGGCCATATGATCTCTGTCACAACTACTTAAATCGGGCATTCTAGTGCAGAAGCAGCCAAATATGTAAATGAATGAGTATGGCTATATTACAATAAAATTTTATTTCCAAAAACAGGCAGTAGGCTGAATTTAGCCTATGGGCTGTAGCTTGCTGACTCTTGTTATATCATAAAGGTTTGAATTATCTGGATATCTGTACTGCAAAATAAACTTAGAATTTTTTTTAAGTTTTACTACTTTTCCAAATTGGTACCCTTTTTTTGAGACAGAATCTCGCTCTGTTGCCCAGGCTAGAGTATAGCTCACTGTGAACTTGAACTCCTGGGCTCAAGAAGTCCTCCTGCCTCAGCCTTCCAAGTATTTAGGACTATAGTCTTGGACCACTGTGCCTGGCTAATTTTTCTTATTTTTTGTACATATGGAATCTCACTATGTTGCCCAGACTGGTTTTGAATTCCTGGCCTCAGGTGATCCTCCATCTTGGCCTCCCGCAGTGCTGGGATTACAGGCATGAGCCACAAGCCACCACCACTCCTGGCCAGTACTTTTTATTTTTTACCAAAGATTACATTATAAATGCAAAAGACTTGTCTGATATTAATATATATGGATGTTGTCCAAGGGAATTCTTATAAATCCACTGCCAAACAGAATGTTACTTATGATTATATCATATTCTGTCATTCTCTTTTGAATTCCTATTTTAGTCTTTTATTTATGATCAATAAACCTAGCAAATCAAAATCTCTTGGTAAAATATTAAGAATTCATTTCAACTTAGAGATCAAGTGTTACATCTTTGGGTTTGAAGGCCTCAGTCTTCAAAGAAGATTCCTCAATTTGAATTGTTTTTGATCAATACATTTAATGGCAGTAAAATTTCATGCTATTTTTAACCTCAGAATTATCCTTCCATTTTTTAAAAAATGTTTGAAGTTATCATCCAGCCTGTCATTCTTTTTCTTACTATTTTTAACATTTATGAGTTATTTTTGTCTGCTTTTGTGCTTAATCCAAAATTATTTTACTGTATATGTAACTGAGTGGATATCTTGAAGGAAGAAAAAATTGACCTTATAATGAATCTTAAACAGCATTAAGGCTGGGCACGGTGGCTCACGCCTGTAATCCTAGCACTCTGGGAGGCTGAGGCGGTGGATTGCTCAAGGTCAGGAGTTCACCCTGAGCAAGAGGGAGACCCCCATCTCTACTATAAATAGAAAGAAATTAATTGGCCAACTAAATACACACACACACACCGCACACACACACACACACACATATATATATAAATTAGCCGGGCATGGTGGTACATGCCTGTAGTCCCAGCTACTTGGGAGGCTGAGGCAGGAGGATCGCTTGAGCCTAGGAGTTTGAGGTTGCTGTGAGCTAAGCTGACACCACGGCACTCTAGCCTGGGCAACAAAAAGTGAGACTCTGTCTCAAAAATAAATAAATAAATAAAAATAAACAGCATTAACCTTTGCAAACAGTTCCATCACACACATACAATATTAAAATCAGAGTTTTTGGAATGAATCATTAACTGCAAATAGCCATTCTTATAACTATAAATTAGACTTCAGATTTTAGATATTTCTCTTTTTCTCATTTCATGTCCTGTAACTATTGAAAGAAATTTAATTTTCAAGCTCTTTCATTTGTGCACAAATACAAAACAAAAAAATAATTTGTTAAAAATACAAAAACCTAAAAAACCAACTGGCTCTCAAGGCTCGGCACAAGGTGACTGGAAGTGTGTAGAGTTATTTTCTCTTTTCAGCCTCCTTTGTAAAAAAAAAAAAACGAAAAAAATAAAAACCACCCAGACTTCTGTCTGGTTGGATAAATGTGATTCATTTTTTGTCTTGTAATGCAACTATTTTGATGGTTGGCTTCACAGCTGAGGCGAGCCACCATTTCAAACCCAATAACAGGAGATTTGGAGACGGTACATTACAGAATTAGCAAAAGGTAAGAGATGTGTATGCTGCATATTTCGCCCTCTAATGAGTGTTTTGTGAATCCTACAGGAATTATTATTCACTTAAGGGAAGTAGGTCATTTTCAGTCTCCAGCTCAAGTCACCACCCTGTATAAAAATATGGTAACGCATGGATAAACTGCTTTGTGTTTCACAGGTCTTTCCCTTTAACTAGAAGTTCTGTTTTTAATCTTTAATTGGTACATTATTTTTAGAGAATTAATATGCTTTGTATTTTTTTCAGATCAGGTATCAGATAGCCCAGAAATGGCCTGATACTTGTTTTCTTTTTCACTTTTGTTGCCAAAGTGGACAATTAGAAGCAGCCTGGTTAATCTTGCTTCTTTCTGCACTTGTCTCACATTCATAAATGCTGCAGTCACTTGTATCATCCTTCATGGTGATTGCGTTGGCATTTGTTCATATGTCTTACAAAATACCATTGTCATTATGAAGTAATCCGTATTCCTCTTGTTGTAGTTTTTTATTTGAATAAACTCGCTGACTCAAAAGTTGGCAATGGAAAGAACAGAACTATGCTTCTGAGCTCAGTCTTCTAGAAATTACTTATGAACTTAGTTGCTTTTTATTTTGCCAGAGAGATTTAAAAACAGTTTTATCTCAGAGTTTTAAAAAATTTTGGAGGACTACTAATTTTTTTCCAAAATATTTAAAGAACATTAAACTTCTAGATATGAGAAAGCTCCTGTGAAACCCAGTGCTATAAATCATTTACACAGAGCTTGAAATGATTTTTTTAAAAAAAAGTGAAAGGACAATAAATCTATAACAAAAATTTGTCAACCCATTTCTCTTGATTTGGAAATGGCTGTTCTTGTTGCCACCTTTCTAAATGTTTTTTTGCGGATTTGAAACCATTACCTACCATCCAGACCAATTTGAACCCTTCCAATCACCTGTGGCTTGGCAAAACAAAACAAATCCCAAAATTGCCTGCTACTAGAGTAAGTCCTTGTCCTTTCTCTTTTTTTGTAGCTGAGCCGAGCTACAGTACATGACCCTGAGACTGGAAAATTGACCACAGCACAGTACAGAGTATCTAAGAGGTAAGGGAGTAATGGATAGAACTTTAATTATATTTGGACCATTTTGTTTCTTGGGAATCTAATCTTCACAAAACCCATGATATGATTTCTAAGACCTAAGTCATTAGGCATAGACACTTGATGATATGTGTGCTTGAATTTTCATGATGGACTAAAAAACAGATAGGGTTATGGGACAGTTAATGGAGGTTTTCCAGAGTAACTTATTCAATTCAGAATGTCTGGTGAGGTTTTCCAGACCCTACCTGATAAGTGAAGTTATGTTCTCATATTGAAGTAACAGAATTTCTTGAAGACCTTTCATAGAAAAAGGCTTAATTTGGACTCTGGTAAATCAGGGGTTTAAAAAACCTTTGGGTCTCCTAATATCTGTAGGTATTGAAAAAGTAAGTGCCTTGAGTGACTACATAATAAAGTCTTTGAAAGTCAGTCAGTTCAAATTCCATGCTTTTAACAACGTTTAAAGAGAATCCAGTTAGGTTATTAGTAGATAGATCACGAAAATAATTTTTTAAAATAGGTCACTGTGTAACTTAGGTATATAACTTTTAAGGAGCTCACAGAATTGAATGACATTATTCCAACAGAACTCCCAGCTCTTGTAAAAATAGAAATATCTTTGTTCTGAATTCTGTCTTATTCTAACAATAAGTAATGTTTATTCACAAGTATAGTAACTTATTAGAAATAACAAACATAGGTCTCATCTGTCTCATTAGGAGTGTTTTAATATATTTTTATGTTTGATAATGATTGTTTAAATCATGTTATTTAGATTAATGTATATGAATAATTGTAATAACTCAATCCAGAAGATATTTTTAACAAAGACTTTTATAGGAAATTTATATTTTTATAAATTATATAAATATATTTTATTATACAGAAGTATAAAAAGATGAGGAGTAAAAGACTTTCAGGCATAAAAATGTATTATTCTAGGGCAAGGTTTCCTAACCTCAGCACTGTTGATATTTAAATCAGATAATTCTTTGTTGTAGGGGGCCATCTTGAGCTTTATAGGATGTTTAGCAGCATCACTGGTACCCACTAGGGGAGGCAAAATCACCCCCACCACCTCTGTGACTCTACCACTCCATGGCTGTTGAGAATCACTGTTCTAGGACAAGAATAGAATGAAAATGTAACATCAAGAAATAGGAAAAAATGTAAATTTCCAAGTATTAAAAAATACTTTGTTCATGTATTTTTTTTAGTGGATGCTGGTTGATATCAAATCACTGTGGTATTTAGATTCCACTTGGATACATGTGAAAAGTATTTATTTTCCAGAAATTGCCAATATTTTTAGTATGACAGAATTAAATAATTTGAAACTAAGTTATGAAAAATTTTAATTGTCAACTAAAAAACTGCAAAGAAGTACTTAGATTTTAACAAGCATTTTGAGAAGTACTCAAAAAATATTTTGAAGATTATTGCTGTCATACCAAAAGTACTAGACATACCAAATACACCATACATACATACCAAAAGGCTGGACAGAATGAGTTGATTCAACATTTTCTTACTCTTTTTTGGTCAAAGCCATATGTCTTTCATATATTAACCTTAAACATCACCGTACACTTATCTTGGTTTTCTAACTGTCCTTATATACCACCACTTGCCCTTTTGCCCCAGTAAGTGTAGGGGAGAAGAGGTTTTTTCCTTGCCCATCACTAGGCTCATGGCTGAGACCCATATAACAGAAGATTAACAAGAGAGGCCAGGCGCAGTGGCTCACACCTGTAATCCTAGCACTCTGGGAGGCGGAGGTGGGAGGATAGCTTGAACTCAGGAGTTCAAGAACAGTCTGAGCAAGAGTTCAAGAGTTCAAGAACAGTCTGAGCATTCTATTACACAAACTTATGTCTTTTTAAAAAAGATAAACTTAAGCTGTTAAGTATTTTATCAGATTTTTGCATGGTTTTAGACATTTATACTGTCATAAAGTTTGTAAGTATCTCAATTCTCCAGATTTGGATGCTTTTAGGAAGCATATAAAACAAAATTTCATGAAATCAGTGTTTGAAAAGACATGTTTTGGAAATTTTATATATATATACATTGTACCTTTTGAAGAAATACTTAGCCCACAGAATCAATAGACTCTTACCAGCAAGTCAGAATACTGTTGAAAGGTTATCTACAAAACATTTTTCTTAAAAATTAAATATGTCAAACTTATTTTTTAAGTATTCTAGTTTTATAGCTCTTAGAAGCAGCTTTAGGATTTTTGAGAAATGCACAACCATACTTTATATTATACATTATAAATGGCAGCAGAAGGCATTTAGCCAGTAGCATTAGAAGCATTGGAACACTGTGAGTAAAACCAGAATAAATTCATTCAGTCTTGGCAAAATATCTAGTGTGTGTGTATGTATATGTGTGTGTGTGTGTGTAAAACAACCTAGTGAAAAAGGAATTCCATAGAACAGTGACCTTAGTCTTCTAGAAAAAATTGCTCAGGAAAACCCTTTCATTAATAAAAACAAACAATATATATTGAGAGATGAGTCTTAACTGTTATAGAATTTGCCCCATTAAATATATAGTATATTTTATATTTTAATAAAATGCTTTTACTGTTTTGAGAATTAAATAGCTATGTTGAGACATTTTCTACCCATCACTGTAAATCTCAATTTGAAGGCTCCCTCAAGTGAAATAAATGATTTATGTTTCCCTTTTAAATTATAAGACAATAAGAAAAAGGCATCTCAAATGCAAAATGGAAGAAAATTTGTATTCTGATATTAGTTATTTAATCCCTTTTGGTCTGGGAACATCTGTATTTGGAAAGGTTCAGAAGGGAATTTCTAATATCTGTATTTTGAGAAATTTCTAAAGGGTTACATCATCTTTTGTGGAAGTAAAAATTTGTTCCATCATTCTAGCAAATAGAATTTTCTTTGGCAAAATATGTGTGGAAATCCTTTACTGTTGAAAAAAAGTTTTTATTTATGTTATTGACCATCTGTTAACTTTTGGCAAGTCGTTTCTGTTTTTTCCAACATTAAAAAGAAACAAACAAAATTTACTATAATTTGTTAATGGAAAGACCTAATAATTTTGGCTAGATCAGAGAAATGGAATTTTAAGTTTTTAAAAGGTAAACATTAAGTTTTGGCCGGGCACGGTGGCTCACGCCTGTAATCCTAGCACTCTGGGAGGCAGAGGTGGGCGGAGAGCTTAAGGTCAGGAGTTCGAAATTAGCCTGAGCAAGAGGGAGATCCCATCTCTACTATAAATAGAAAGAAATTAATTGGCCAACTCATATATATAGAAAAAATTAGCCAGGCATGGTGGCGCATGCCTGTAGTTCCAGCTACTCGGGAGGCTGAGGCAGGAGGATCGCTTGAGCCCAGGAGTTTGAGGTTGCTATGAGCTAGGCTGATGCCATGGCACTCACTCTAGCCTGGGCAACAAAGTGAGACTCTGTCTCAAAAAAAAAAAAAAAAAAAAAAAATTAAGTTTTGTGCCCTAAGACAGTTAGGTGAACTCAAAGTCCAGTTAAAGGAATATAAATAATGACGTATGCAAATAAACAATAATTTGTTGAGAGTGGTAGAAAAAGCTTCTTTGATTCTGGTGGGGAAATGGTTTTCATTTTTTACTCTGAAGTAATGATTTTCTGCATTATGGTATTTATGATATATGATAATATGATATTTACGGTATATTATGCTTAAGATTTTACTTAGCATGTTACTAAGGAGCAAATAAGTATAATTATATAATATAATTAAAATATATTAATATTTTTATAATATTAAACAAATACAAACAGTTTTGAATGATTTCAGTTTTTTTTCTTGAGATGGATCTTGGTATGTTGCCCTGGCTGGTCTCAAACTCCTGGGCTCAGGGGAGTATTCCCACCTCAGCCTCCAAGTAGCTGGGATTACATATGTGTGCCACCTGGCTTCACTCAGTTTTTTTATTCAATTGGCATGACTTTTAACAACACTACCCTCTAATGGGTTGAACAGTGGTTCTCAGACTGAGGTAACTGAAATGGATGGATTTATACTGTTACTGCATAATTTTATCCCAAGAAGCAAAGGGACTGGATAAATTCCCAGTCTAGATGATTATCCTTTGTTGACTATGGAGCACTTAGAAAAGAATTATTGGAAAATTTGCCCTCCGGCACTCTGGGCCCTGAATTATCTCTGTAAAAAAAAAAAAAACACATAGTGGTTTTATATTATATTTAATTAGAAAATGTTAATTTTACATCTGTGTTGGTTAGAAGAGGTAGTGATAGTGTTCAAATTATATTACTGATACTTTTCTTTGGAGGTTTTATAATAATCTTCAAAACTTCCAAAATGGTATTGTCTATTTACTTGAACATAACTTCTTTTTTTTTTTTTTTTTTTTTTTTTGAGACAGAGTCTCACTTTGTTGCCCAGGCTAGAGTGAGTGCCATGGCGTCAGCCTGGCTCACAGCAACCTCAATCTCCGGGGCTCAGCGATCCTACTGCCTCAGCCTCCCGAGTAGCTGGGACTACAGGCATGCGCCACCATGCCCAGCTAATTTTTTGTATATATATTTTTAGTTGGTCAATTAATTTATTTTTTTTGGTAGAGACGGGGTTCGGCTCAGGCTGGTTTCGAACTCCTGACCTTGAGCAATCCGCCCGCCTCGGCCTCCCAAAGTGCTAGGATTACAGGCGTGAGCCACCACGCCCGGCCCATAACTTTCTTATTCATGTTTTAGAAATACTGTCATGCAGTGTGAGGATGTTGTTCCTTACTCAAGCATTCCAGTGGTATATTAAAAAATCATGTTAAAAGAATAATAAAGTTTTTTAATAGCTTATTTTAATTAAAAAGGGGGAACATTTAGAAATATTACTCTAATTGAATGTACAATTTTGCTCTCTGAGCCTGTCATTAATGCAAAAAAGTAGATATTTTGGGCTATTTAGTCTTCAATGGAAAAAAGGGACACACACATAAAGTTATTTGAAGAAAGCGTTCTTTTTTTTCTCCTAGCACTAAATTGTATTTTATGGTAAAAACATTGTATAACTTAGTTGACATTTTAAATATAGTTGTACAAAAGATAAATGATCTTCAAATGATTTTTTCCTATTGAAGTAAATGGTATAACTAACTTAAAGTACCAAATACTAGAAAAAAGAAATCCTGATTTCTGATGATTTAGATTAATGTAGTAATAAAAATTCCAGATCCTAGAAGAAATGGACAGTAAACATATTACAGTGTAATTGTCACCACTGAATTTTTAGCAATGTTACAACAATGTCAATTTAGAGCTAAATTCTTGGACTACCTGAAAGGTCTACAATAATGTCATTGAAGACAGATTAAGAGTAATGGTTTGTTAAAAAAGGGATCTAGATGAATAGAATGTTATAAATGAATGTAGTTCTTCAACTAAGAAGAGTCTTATTTATTCATTTATTATTATTTTTTTAGAGACAGGATCTTGCTCTGTTGCCTAGGCTGGAGTGCAGTGGCACAATCATAGCTCACTGTAACCTCGAAGTTCTGGGCTCAAGTGATCCTCCTGGCTTAGCCTCCCAAGTAGTTAGGACTATAGGCACATGCCACCATGCCTGGCTAATTTCTTTTTTTTCTTTCTTTTTTTTTTTTTTAAGAGATGAGGTCTCATTATATTGCCCCAACTGGTCTCAAATTCCTGGCCTCGAGCCATTCTCCTTCTTCTTCCTCCCAAAGTGCTGGGATTACGGGCATGAGCCACCATGCCCGGCAGAAGAGTCTTACATTTTGGGGAAGTTTTTACATAAAAGTAAAATTAAGTGAAATAGCTTCCCATGTATCAGACTTCATTTTTCCCTGTTGTGATTACAACAGAACCACAATTAAGATGACAGGATTTTTTAAACCTACAGTAGTCAACATTGACTTTAACTGCTAAGCCACAACCCTCTACTAAGATCTTTTATGATATAATAATTGCAAATTAAAACTTAAAAAAAATTTTAACTATTGAAATTAAAATATTTTTGCCTCTAAGATTGGCAAAGACTAAAAAGGTTGATACTTTTTCAGAGGGCAGTTTGACATCATTTATCAAAATATAAAAGCCATCTAGCAATTCTGCATCTAGGAATTTATCCTAGAGGGATATTCCCACAAGTACGCAAAGATATAGATACATAATTTTTGTTAAAATATTGTTTGTAATAGGGAAAAATTAGAAATAACCTTATTTAACCACTATTTTATTGATGGACTTTCATGGTCATTCCTCGAACTAAAGGTATTTTATTTTAAAAAGAAAACAGTAGTTTAAAAGGCAGTGAGGAGTCTGGGCACAGTGGCTCATGCCTGTAATCCTAGCACTCTGAGAGGTTGAGGCAGGAGGATTGCTTGAGGTCGGGAGTTCGAGACCAACCTGAGCGAGAGCGAGACCGCCATCTTTATAAAAAATAGAAAATTTAGCCATGTGTGGTGGTGTACATCTGTAATCCCAGCTACTTGGGAGGCTTGAGTCAGGAGGATCTTTTGAGCCCAGGAGTGTGAGTTTGCAGTGAGGTATGGTGATACCACTGCACTCTATCCTGGGCAACAGAGCAAGACCCAGTCTCAAAAACAAAACAAAACAAAAACAACAACAACAAAACCAAGAATGGGAATGTAAAGTGGTGTGATTCCTCAAAAAGTTAAACATAGGGTTACCTTATGATGTAACAATTCCACTTCTAGGTATATACGAAGAAGATGCCCAAAAGATTTGAAAGTGAGGAATCAGGTACTTGCACACCAATGTTTATAGCATCATTATTGACAATAGCCAAAATGTGGAAGGAACCCAAATGTCCACCATCAGCAGATGAATGGAAAACATATGATATATACAGATAATAGAATATTATTCAGCCTTAAAAAGGAATGAAGTTCTGATGCTTGCTATAATATGAATGAATCTTGAAAACATTATACTAAGTGAAATAAGCCAGACATGACAAATATCATATGATTTTTATTATAGGAGGTACCTAGACTAGGCAAACCCATATAGACAAAAAAGGAGAATAGAGGTTACCAAGGCGGGGAGGGAGAGACAAGGAATTATTCATTGGGTATAGTGTTTCTGTTTGGGATGATGAAAATCCATTCTGGAAATGGATAGTGGTGATAGTTGTACAACGTTGTGAATGTACTTAATAGTACTGAATTGTACAATGAAAAAAATGGTTAAAATGTTAAGTTTTATGTCATGTATATTTACCATAATTTTTTTAAAAAGTTAAAATGGTTAATTTTATATTATGTATATTTTACCACAATATTGAAAAATGAGGTAGTGCTATATTGGATTGACTTGGAAAGAAAGTGTATGTTTATGGAGGTAGGAGATTGGAGGGTGGGTAGATTACTTTTTTTTTGTTTTAGAAAAATTCTGTTTGTACACAGGGAAAAAATGTTGAGAGGATATATACATATCTGGTTTTTTTTTTCTTCACAGTATTTGTTAATGGTTTATTTATCAAGAGAAACTATTCGTCAGCCCACATATTCATAGCTCAGGAACACAGGTCAAGAAATTCTTTTATGTTCCAAAATCACTTTGCACTCTGAAAGATGCCAGACTTCCTCATCTCCTCAAAATCTTTCATAGAACCATAATTTCTGTAGAAATCTGCATATGCCTTCTTCCGTGGTTCAGCCACACCAAACTTATACAAAGTTGCAACTCCCAGGGATACTGTGAATGCTCCAACAATATGAATCCACAGACACCTGGCCAGGAGGCCACGCATCTGAGGTTTCGCCAAAGTGCCGGAAGCCATGGTAGTTACCGTTCTTGATGGTTATGCCTACCTCAACACGTTCTTCCTGGCCGATGGAAAAACGAACTCTATACATATTTGTTAATAATGTTTATCTGTAAGAAGTGGGACTAGGGAAGAGACTTTGTATACTTTTATATTTTTTGAAGTTTTTATAATAAACATTTATTTTTTTAAAAAAATAGTATTATTGAGATATAATTCACATATCATACAATTCACCCATTTAAAGCATACAAGTCATTGGCTTTTAGTATATTCAGAGAATTGTGCAACCGTCATGACAATCAATAGTACATTTTTATTACCCCAAAGAATATTTTCATCACCCCAGAGTGAATGGTACATTGACCTACCAGGAACTCAGTCAGCATTGGGAGAAATAAGTTCCTAATATTTATCGGCCATATTCTTTACAATAACATTCTTTGTTTTTTCCCATTTCTGTTACACTGAAGAATTCTCCTCAGCCAGTCCTGATAAATTTGGAGGAGATCACCAGGCAAATACTTTTGGTAGAATAGGATAAATCTTAGATTTGTTCTAAGAAGTCTTTAGGATTCATTTGGCACGTATTTATTAAGTATCTACTATGTGCCAGGCATTTTAGGTTCTATGGATATAGTGGTAAGTAAAAACAGGCAGAATATATATGTATTTGGAACTATTAGCATGATAGTAGTCAAATGAAAGTGGCTTACTATATTCAAATAACATATTAATGTAAAACTATCACTGTGACATATGCTACAAAGGAAGGATATATGACAGGGGTCCTCAAACTTTTTAAACAGGGGGTCAGTTCACTGTCCCTCAGACCGTTGGAGGGCTGGACTATAGTTTTAAAAAAACTATGAACAAATTCCTATACACACTGCACATATCTTATTTTGAAGTAAAAAAGCAAACGGGCAAAAACACCCACATGTGGCCCACAGGCCGTAGTTTGAGAACGCCTGATATAGTATCATAAAAGCATATTAGGGGCAACTATCTTCTCCATATCCGGGTGCTCGGAGGTGGCTCTTCCTGATGTGTTTCAGGCTGCAGGCATTTGCCAAGTCTGAGATTCTTGGAGGGCTATGAGAAGCCCAGGACAATTCTAAGAGAGTAGCTGTAACCGTCTTTCACCCTCCTGATCATTAGGATGATTCCTGTAGTAGCATCTAGCAGCTGATTCAATCCTATTACATAAACAAAGCTCAGTTACTTTCATGAAGAACATCTTATTTCTTTACATCAAAGAAAATGTTAAGAGTAACTGCAGACAAAGATACTTCTTCATTTTTGAAGGACATCAATCCTTTGAGGAAATAGGCTGAAGAGGATTCCCACTGGGATGCGGCTATTCTGATCCCTGCAATGGGACAGATGACCTGCTGTAGGTGGCCTAAGCTGTGGTAGATAACTCTGACAGATGTCTCTGGACAGAAAGACTGTGGTGCTGAAACAACTTCAGGGCCACACGTGGAGGGCAGCATTCACAGCTGGGCAAATGAAGGCAGCATTCTTTGAAGATGTAGTCCCAGCATTAAGGAAATGGAGAAAGGCTGGAATGAAGGTGTATATCTATTCTCCAGGGAGTGTAGAGGCACAGAAACTATTACTTGGGCATTCTACAGAGGGAGATATTCTTGAGCTCATTGAGATTACTTTGATACCAAGATTGGGCACAAAGTTGAAAGTGAGAATTAATGAAAGATTGCAAACAGCATTGGGTGTCCAACCAACAGTATTCTGTTTCTGACAGACACTCTAGCGGCAAGTGCCGCTGAGGAAGCAGATGTGCACATTGCTGTGGTGGTGAGACATGGCAATGTGGGACTAATCTACAATGGGCAGACTGTAGTTTCATTGTATCCTTCAGTGAACTGTACCTGCCCTCTTCAACCCTGAGGATTTCTAAGGAAGACCAAACTTGTTCAGGGTTGTCCCCATAGTCTAGTTTTATTCTAATGGTAAAAGTAACTTAAAGATACACATAGAGTCATTTCTCAGTATACATGGATTGGTTCCAGGACTGTCATCCTTACATACTCAAGTCCCACAGTTGGCCCTGTGGAACCCACATCTAGGAAAAGTCAGCCCTCTGTATACGCAGTTTTGCATTCCAAGATTTCCACATATAAGTGGACCTACATAGTTCAAACTTTGAACTTGTTCAGGTGCCAACTGTATATATACATATATGTATGCAAGTGTACGTATGTGTATGTTCAGATTACCTTCCACAGGTACATAAGTGGAAGAAAGATCTTAGTTCAGTGAAGTGGAAATTAATTTCAAAATCTATTACCTGTACATGTTAAAATTATTTGAAACTATATCACTAACCCTTACTGAAGGCAAAGTGTAGTCAATAGAAGAAAGTACTAACATACAGATCAAATGTGTCATATTTATGAACTTATGTACCAAAATGGAAAGCTAGTTTTGAAAAGTTATTCAGAAGCCTTGCTATTTTAAAAACTGGAAGTATTTAAAGGATTACTCCTAATTGTAATTAATTGCATCTGTTTAATTGTGAGGAAATAGAAAATTACAAAGCTGCATTTCATAATATTTTCCTACCGGTATACAAAAAACAAAGATATTAAATATTTGCTTGTACTTGAAAAGAGCAAAATTGGAAAGAAAATTTGCTTCAGTCTTGAACAACTGAGTATACGCTATTTAAGAAGAAACTTGAGAATCATTGTTGCACTGCCAGCAAAAAATTGCCTTACTAAGAAAAAAGGTTCATTGATGTAACAGCTGAAATAGAGATGTGGTTCTCAATGTTTCATAAAATAGTCCAAATCCTGCCAGTTGTTATCCATCATAGATTTTATATAATCGTTGCCTTTCTGTCAACTTAGCACAGTTTAAGAAATTATGTTGTTATTTACTATTTTAAAAAATGGTTTTACTGAAATTTCTCCATAAGATTAAAAAGGACCCAAATACATCTTTCTCTAAATTGGATGTGAGATGCATTGTAGGATGTTTAGTTAGAGAGAGAGAGAGATTATAACAGCATTATTCTGGTTTAATTCTAATGGGAAGTCATATCAATTTCATATTGTGATTATTGTAAAAACATTCTCCTCCTCCTCCTTATGTATGTATCTCTTTTTTTGGAAACTAAACATCCTGCAATGCACCTCACATCCATTTTACAGAAATATATATTTGGGTCCTTTTTGATCTTGTGGGCTGATTTCAGTAAAACCATTTTTTAAAATAGTAATGTGAATGTGTGTGTGTGTGTATATATATACACACCATGTACATACATACATATCTATTTTCTGTGTAGAAGTGCAAAGGTAATATACAAAGCCTTAACTTTGCAAAGTGCAAAAGAATACTTTGGTCAGAAAGATGAGCCCTAGTTCGTTAGGGCTAGAGGAAACATGTTCTTGAGGAAATGGGCCCTGAAGGGAGCCATAATATAGTGGTGGAGACTGAGACAAAGCAGCCAGAGACACTGAAAGAATACCTGGAGAATGAGTGTTTGAGGAAGAGAGTTTCCAGACGGATGAATGTTTGTCATATGTTATTGAAGGAACAAATACAATGAGAATTGGAAAATGTTACTGATTTAGTAGCACAGTAGGGTTATGGATGACATTAGCAAGAATGGTTTTGGTGGAATGTTAAAGGACTAAAGCTAGATTAGAATGGGTTCAGAGAAAAGTTGGCTTGAAGAGGGAGGAGAAAGAGGTTGGTAGCTAGAGGGAGATAGTTGAGGGGAAAAAATTTAATTTTTATTTATTAATGGGAGACTTAAGCCTAGTTAAAAGCTATGAGGAGAGTTAGTAAAAGAGGGAAGCTGATTATGTAAGAGAAAGAAGGGCTAATCATTGATTTATGGTTCCTGAGATGGCAGGGCATATGGAATCTAAGGCAGAGGATTAGCCTTAGAAAATGGAGAGAAATCTCCTCTATAGGAACTATTTTTTTTTTCTTTTTTTTTTTTTTATGCTCAAGAAACTGAAGTCTATATAGGAACTATTAATAGAATTAACTAGAAGAAGCAGATAGATACAAATGTAAGTAAGTTGTATGATACTTATTTTCTCTATGAAGTAGGGGATAATATTATCTGCTGAGTGAGAGGCAGGCTGAGGTGGATTAGGCTGCAAAGTGGAAGAGAAAGTAATGGTGAGGGCCCATTTGAAGTTGGTGTTAATGAACTTCACATGGAACATATCTGCCCTATTTTGTGACTCTCTTCAGTAGGGTTTGGTGACACAGATACAAGGTTGGAGCAAAGAGATTCATTCAAGATTTTGTTTTTGCCAGACAGTTGAATTGTAGGCTTTTAGCAAGAATGCTGTTAAAATGATGAACCAGGAAATCAAAGCTTAATGAGAGGAGGAAGTGTAGGAAAAAAACAGGCTGATAGACTAAGGAAAGCATATGTGAAAAAGGGGATCTAGTTGAACTCGGGGGTGCCTTTTAAAATCGAGTATAGTTCCCATACCATAAAATTCATCCTTTTAAAGTATACATTTCAGTTTTTTAAAAAAAATCTTTTGTTGTGTAACCATCACCAATACCTAGTTCCAGAACATTTTAGTTACCCCAAAAAGAAATCTGGTACCCATTAGGAATCATTTCCCCTAACCCCATCACCTGGCAACCACTACTCTACTTTCTATATCTGTTGATTTGCCTATGCTATACATTTCATATAACTAGAAACTTGTAATATGTGGTCCTTTGTGTTATATCTGGCTTCTTTTACTTAATACAATGTTTTTAAGGTTCCATCCACTTTGTAGCATGTATTTGTACTCATTCTTTTTTATGGCACAATATTATTCCATTTTATAGATATACCATATTTTATATATCTATTCATTAATTGATGGACATTTGGGTTGTTTCCACTTTTTGGCCATTATGAAGATTGCTACTGTGAACATTTCTATACAAGTTTTTCTGTGGATATAGATTTTATTTCTCTTGGATATATACCTAGAAGTAGAATTGCTAGGTCATTTGGTAACTATGTTTAACATTTTGAGGAACTGCCAAACTGTTTTCCAAGGTGGCTGCACCATTTTACATTCCCACCAGCAACATATAAGGGCTCCAGTTTCTTCACATCCTGACTAATACTTGTTATTGTCCTCCTTTTTTTTTGTTGTTTGTTTTTGGTTTTCTTGGAGACATTCTCGCTCTGTCACCATGGCTAACATGCAGTGGTGTCATAGCTCACTGCAACGTCAAACTCCTGGGCTAAAGAGATAAGATCATCCTGCCTCAGCCTCCTGGGTAGCTGGGACTACAGAGGTGCACACCACCATGCCTGGCTAATTTTTCTATTTTTTGTAGAGATGGGGGTCTCACTTTTGCTCAGGCTAGTCTCGAACTCCTGACCTCGAGCAGTCCTTCTCCCTCAGCTTCCCAGAGTGCTAGGATTACAGGTGTGAGCCACTGCGCCTGGCCCCATCTTTTTTATTATAGCCATCTTAGTGGGTGTGTTTGGGTACCTTTTAAAACCTTTTATGTAAACAAGTAATAAATGAAGTTTTTTTTCTTATAAAGTATTAGCATTATGTAGTTCAAGCTAAAGACCCTATATGACCAACACTCTAGTCAGTTCCTATACCTTACCTGGAAGGAACAGTTGTTTTCAGTTTGGTATGTATTTTTCTAGAATTTTCAGGAATTCTCAATGTAGATGGTTTTAACACATTGACTGCCATGTGAGTTGTATTTAACTCAGGCTAGTTTTGACCCTGGGGCCACATGAAGCAAAACCCTGCAGTTGGTTAGTAAAAATCTTACTTGTTCATGTTCTTATTCTTACAATTAATATTGACAATTTAATTCTAAAAACATGGATTGTATTGTATATAACTCACAGAAAACAATTACAAATAACAAATTAGAAAGGATCATTTTGTTTTAATAAAATACTGTGCCCCTGGGAAAATAATTTTTTTTCTAATGTTGCAGTCAGTATGTTAAATAGCCTCCTTATAATTAATCCAACTGGTTTTCATAGAAACGCTATAATAAAGGAAATTAGTTTTTTTTCCATTCCACTGTCTAAACTATAGAATGTGACAACTTTGAAAAACTACAATATCAGTTAGTAAAGATCATATCAAACAAGAAAATCAGCTAAATGCCTTTAGATAAAGGTTTATTGCCCTATATATTATGGCTTTTTAAGTAACAGCTATTAGTCTTAATGTAATGAAACGATATCAGTAAAACAAATATTATCTTCTTAGTGCCTGGCTCTCTGGCTATGAAAACCCTGTGGTGTCTCGAATTAATATGAGAATACAAGATCTAACTGGACTAGATGTTTCCACAGCAGAGGAATTACAGGTAGGTAATCACAATATCCTTAATTTTCCACTTCAAGAGATGCTTCAGATGAGATTTGCTGACATTGAACAGGCAGTCCTTGATTTGCATGGTAGTTGAGACTGTAAAAAGTGACCCTGTAAGCTGAAACCATGGAAAGCGATTATAATAATCAGTAGGAAAAATTATGATTATTCTGTGATCTTTAAATTTTTTGTCAAAACATGAAAAACTCTTACTATTGAGTATAAACATACAGAGAAATGAAAAAATATGCAGCTCTAATATTTATGAAGTATACTATAATTTATTTTACCTTCCCCAGGCTTCAGTCTACTTATCATGTGGCCAGGGTGGATTTTTTTTTTTAATATTAATTTTTTTCTTTTCATTTCTTAACAGTTTTTTCTTTATTTGTAATAATGAATCAAAGGACTACTTTTTTTCATCATTTCTCTTTTTCTGCTATGTCTATAAAATTATTTGTTATAAAAAGCAGCTATCCTACATAATTCTTTTCCACTCCATTATAATCGCAACTTGACTCAAAATATCTTTAGTAAACAGGCATATATAGTAATGTTAGTTATAAGAAATAAACATAAAATCAACATGTAATAATCTCATTTATTTTCAGTAGTAGAAAAATAAGCATAGGCCCATAAACCAGAGAAAAATAGCTTAGCCTTCAAGGTATATCAAAAATTACTTACTATTTCTCAGTCTTTTCCTATAGAGAAGTACTTTTAAAAATATTTCTGCCAGGGCATGGTGGCTCATGCCTGTAATCCTAGCACTCTGGGAGGCCGAGTCGGGCAGATCATTTGAGCTCAGGAGTTCAAGACCAGCCTGAGCAAGAGCGAGACCCCATCTCTACTAAAAAAATAGAAATTAGCTGGACAACTAAAAAAAAAAGAAATATATATATATATTTATATATATATAAAATTTAGCTAGACATGGTGGCACATGCTTGTTGTCCTAGCTACTTGGGAGACTGAGGCAGGAGGATCACTTGAGCCCAGGAGTTTGAGGTTGCTGTGAGCTAGGCTGATGCCATGGCACTCTAGCCCAGCCAACAGAGCGAGACTCTGTCTCAAAAAATATATGTATATATATTTCTGAGTCCTATTTTTATATTCAATTTTTTTAAATTATCAAAATGTGCACTAAAAAAACCCCAGTGCCTTCATCATAGTCTTTCTGATTGCAAAATTCTAACACAAATGCAGTGAATATGCAGCTCATTAATTAATAAGATAATTAAAAGTTGATATACTTTTGCTTCTTTTCAACTTTAAATAATATACTTTAGATTTATCAAATGACCAAAATGTATTGTTATTTAATGCTAGTTCCTTTTTTCTAGATAAATTTTTTGTTTTGTTTTAGTGTTGTTTGTGTGCATGTGTTTTACAGTGAAATAGTGTGATGCCATCCTATTCCATCTTTGTCAGAATACATGGTTTTCTCCTTTGTTTTTATTGATAAATAATTGTACATTTTTATGAGGTATGTGTGATATTTTGATATATGCATACAATTTGTAATAATCAAATCAGAGTGATTAAAGCTATCCATCACCTCAAACATTTATCATTTCCTTCTGTTAGGACATTTTAAATCTTCTAATTATTTTGAAATATACAATAAATTCTTATTAACTACAGTCACCCTACTGTGCTCTAGAACACTAGGGCTCATTTCTTCTATCTGACTGTTCTACCTTTACTTTTATATCTATTAACCAATTTTATCCATTAACCATTGAGATGGTCATATGGTTTTGTTCTTTATTCTGTTGATGTGTTGTATCATTAGAATCATTATCATTAGAATGATCCATGAGCTGAGGAGAAGAGTGTATATTCTGTAACTGTTGGATGAAACATTCTGTAAATATCTATCAGGTCCATTTAGTATATATTGTAGATTAAGTCCATTGTTTCTTTGTTGATTTTCTGTCTAAATGTTCTGTCCAATGCTGAGAGTGTTGAACTCAGATCAAATAATTCTCTTTACTTCCTTTTGTTGTCTCACACATTGTTATAACCACCTGAAATTAGGGCCCTTCAGCAGGAATAATTAAATTGGTATTAACTTCTTCCCTTTTTCATCTTAGCAGGGAAAAAATATGTAAGAAAAAGGATTTTATTAAAGTAGATTGGGAATTTGCCAGCATTCGTGGCTTTGGCAAACTTTTTAATTTAAATCCCAAAGGAAAGTATTTAGTGAAAATAAATAAAATTTGAGATAAGACATCTCAAATTTTAGTGTGTTATGTATTAGGAAAAAAACGTGTCCCCCAAACACTTGCTAAAGAAAAGCATATTAACTAAGGTTCCTATTTTATTTATTTTTTGTTTCATCTTTGCTGTCCATTATGTGTTCTAAGGGTTCTGAAATAGCTCCTAGTAGCTATCCATACTTTTCATCCTATTAGGAACTCTTGTTGATTTTAAATACTTTGTTTTTCATTCATGCATATGCATCATATATGAGGCCAAATGGGGCTCTAGATTTTTTTGAGTAGTAATCTATGAAGTTCTTTTCATTTATGCTTTCTTTCCTTCAGGTAGCAAATTATGGAGTTGGGGGACAGTATGAACCTCATTTTGACTTTGCACGGGTAAGTGAAAGAAATGGAGAATGTAAGAAATCTGCTGAAGTTTAGGTATTATTAATAATTGTTAAAGAAAAAAAATTATTCGGATACTTGTTAAAGATGGTAAGGCAGGCTTTACCCTAGGGGGCTAGGGATATTGTGATAGGTATAGGGACCACTGTAATGGAGTTTTTGCAGTGAGGCAAAGAAATTAAGCTCAGCTCCAAATACAATAAGGAAAAGTAGGAATTTATAGCCAGTGAACAGAGGTGGGGGGGCCAATATATGGAAAATTGCTAAGAGGTAAGCAGGGATTTCTGGCTAAACTGACCTAACAGGATTCTTGGAGAAGTCAGGGAAGGGTGATCAGACATCACCCTGAGATAGAGGAAGATGAGGAACCCAATTAGATATTAGGGGGAATCAGATATCAAGGATGGAGAATTCTGGCTAAACTGACTTAGATTCTTGATAAAATTGGACAATGCAGAGACAAACACAGAGGCCCAAAAGTCGGCCAAGTTGAGAAGAGAATTCAGAGGCATCTGAGTAGAGTTTGGTCAAAGAAAATCTTTGTCAACATACTAATTCTGTTCTTTTAGCATTAAAATTTCATAGCCTATTTGGAATCTGTGGAAACATGGTATAATCATAATAGATATCCTGTGAAGCCTTTTTAGCAATTAAACACCTAGATGCCTACGTTTTCAGTCTTTGTTCTGTTTGCCCTTGGGAATATCCTTTACTTTCTTCCAGGCTCACCAATGCATAAATACTTTTAAATGCATAGGTGAGCCTGGAAGAAAGTAAAGGGTATTCCCAAGGGCAAATAGAACAAAGATTGAAAATATAGGCATTAAACCTAGAGAGTTAAGGGGGACAAAAAAGCTGACGCTGGAGGCACATGCCTCCAGGAACCTAGAGCTTTGGGGATTAACAGCTCTGTGAGAGGAACTGGACCTGCCATAATTAGATTGCTGAACCCGAGACCCCTGCATAAAACCTAAACCTCCAGAAGGATTACACCTTCAGTGAGATAAAGAATGGATCTGAAAATAATCTGCTTTGAAGCTGGAACCTTACAGAAAGCTGTTTCCATCCTGGCTGGGGTGTAGTGTGTATGGGGAGCTGCTTCTGGGAGTTTTAAAGCATAGGCCTGCCCTCACATAAATCTGGAATTTGAATTTTTACTACCCTGGAAGAGGAGAAATTAAAGTGGTTCGGTTTTGGTAGTGCTCCTTGATACCTGACAGAAACAAATTCATATCCTCCCTGGAAAGAAACATCCTATTTCTAATACCTCAGATAAATATGAACTCATATTTTTAAAAAATTACTAACTGGTGATAAGAAACCATTGGTGAGACTGAAGCAACCAACAGATTTAGACATTCCCAGGATTTTAAAATCTGAAATTATCAGATAAAGAATGTAAAATACCTTTTATTTTTAAATATTATATAGTTAAGACAAAAATAATCTCTTAAAATGATTTGGCATATTCAAAAAATAAGCAAATGGAAGTGCTAAGCAGAAAAAATTGTTGAAATTTAAACTGTAACGGTTAATTTAGAAACAGACTGGAGACACATGAAGTAGTGAATTGGCCAATAGATATGAAGAAATTACAAGAATGCATTTTGAGAGACAGGAAGATAAAAAACAAAGAAAGAGATGTAAAGAGACTGGAGATAGAAAGCTTAGAGGATAGGTAATATTAAAGCAATTCGTAAAAAGCTTGTGCTTGCCAAGTCCTCTTGGCATAAGACTAATAATTATTGGTCTCTTTTTTTACATCTTTAATATATTCAGGCATAAGTTATAGCATTTCCAAATCTTAACTTAAACTTTATCATAATTACATAGAATGCTAAGGAATGTGCTACATATTTCCACAGAGTTCTTGCTCTATTACCAGTATTCAGTAGGGTATTCTTTTGAATGAAAACATTGACTGCATTGTGTTATAGCTCTTTACTGGCTTCATTCCAAAGTTCTAGACTCTTTTTTTTTTTTTTGAGACAGAGTCTCGCTTTGTTGCCCAGGCTAGCGTGAGTACCATGGTGTCAGCCTAGCTCACAGCAAACTCAAACTCCTGGGCTCAGGCAATCCTTCTGCCTCAGCCTCCCGAGTAGCTGGGACTACAGCCATGCACCACCATGCCTGGCTAATTTTTTCTATATATATTAGTTGGCCAATTAATTTCTTTCTATTTATAGTAGAGACGGGGGTCTTGCTCTTGCTCAGGCTGGTTTCGAACTCCTGAGTTTGAGTGATGCTCCCGCCTCAGCCTCCCAGAGTGCTAGGATTACAGGCGTGAGCCACCGTGCCCAGCCTAGACTCTTTTTCTATGTAGACCTGTAAAGAATATATTTTTAGTCTCTTTTCCTTATTTATTTAGGTTTTGAAAAAAAATGTGTGAGGATCTTTAATGATGTGAAAGACTGTACAGTTAAAGCCCTAACAGTACAAAATGAAATTGCATTTTTTTAGCTTTTGATTTTGAAGCAATTATCAATTCACAGAAAATAACAAACAATGCACAGAAAGGTTCCATGCACCCTTCATCTAGCCTCTCCCAATATTAATATCTTGCATAACTATAGGACACTATCAAAACTAGGAATTTGGCATTGGCACAATTCAGAGCTTATTCATATAAGGGCAGTTATACTTGCCCTCCTTTCTGTGTGTGGCTCTGTGCAGTTTATTACACATGTAGCTTTGTGGAACTACTCCCACAATCAAGATAGACCATCGTACCATCACTACAAGTTTCTTTTGCAGTACTGCCCTATAGCTGTATACAGCTTCCTCCTGTTCCTACTAGTAACTAGTATCTGTTCTTCTTTGCTATACTTATGTTATTTCACAAACATTATAAAAATAGAATGATATAGTATGTACCCTCTGAGTTTTTTTTTCACTCAATATCTCTTGAGGTTCATCCAAGTTCTTGTATGTGTCAATAGTGTGTTCTTTTTATTGCTAAGTAGAGTACAGATTGAGTATCCTTTTCCCAAAATGCTTGGGAAGTCAGGTGCTACGCCTTATGCCTGTAATTCTGGCACTTTGGGAGGCTGAGATGGGAGGATCGCTTGAGGCCAGAGTTCAAGACCAGTCTGAGCAACATAGCAAGACCCTATCTCTATAAAATATTAAAATATTAAAAAAAATTAGCTGGGCATGGTGGTGCCCCAGCTACTTGGGAGGATAAGGCAGGAGGATCACTGGAGCCCAGGAGTTTGAGGTGTCCAGTGAGCTATGAGGACGCCACTGCGCTCTAATCTGGGCAATAGAAGGAGACCCTATTTCAGAATAAAACAAAACAAAAACCCCAAAACTAAAATACTTGGGATGGGGCTCAAGTCTAAACACAAAATTCATGTTTCATATACATATAGCATGAAGGTAATTTTATACAATATTTTTAATAATTTTGTGCATGAAACAAAAAATTGTGTCAAGTACATCTGTGTGGAATTTTCAACTTGTGGTGTCATGTCGGCAGTCAAAAAGTTTTGGATTTTGGAGCATTTCAGATTTTGGCTTTTTGGATTAGGGATTTTCAACCTGTATTCTGCTGCTGTATGGATGTACCACAGTGTAGCCATTTACCCATTAAAGGAGATTTGGACAGTTTTTAGTTTTTGGCTATTACAAATAAAGATGTATGCAAACTTCTGTGTGAAAAATACATTTTCATTTTTATGGGTAAATGCCAAGAGATTATATTGTATTTTAATTTAGATTTAAATATCTAGATATGAATTCTCCAGCCTTATTAAAGTGCTGACTGTCCAAAAGACAGTCATAATAGCAATAAATACTTGAGTGGGTCATGAGTTCAAAGTAAAATTTCAAGGCAAGTTTTTTACCCACAGAGAATAAGCTTCATGAATGTAGCTAAGAGGTGGCTCTCATGTCCTATTTTTTAGAAGCTAAAATTATAGGTGTTGATTTTTTTAAAATCTGTACTTAGGAGATATTTGCTCTCATTCGTTCAGGCTAACAAATCTGTTTTCCCCCCCAATGGTCTTATCAAAAATACCTGGTATACAAGTTAATTCAATAAGCATTTGAATGCCTGGTGTATATAGTACACTGGACATTATTAGGGAACATTTGTGGGCTGTCTTTGGCATATTTTTCAACATATTACTAATGTGTATAGTTGCCACTGGAATATTTGCATTACTGAATTTTACCACCATTGAATTCACTGTGTTTTATTCACAGAAAGATGAGCCAGATGCTTTCAAAGAGCTGGGGACAGGAAATAGAATTGCTACATGGCTATTTTATGTAAGTTGTGGCTAAAATTTTTATTTTGAGTTGGGACTTGATCACATAACTCATTTTGATGTGCTCAGTTAAGTTTGTTCTGTGTACCTCTTATTTAGCATCCTAGTTTAAAGTTTTTACAACTAAAGGTGTTAAGAGTATTTTTGCTATTATAACTTTTTCAGGTTGTAATACAGATTGTTCATTGTAGAAACTTTTTTTAAAAAAACTTGAAGAAAATTACAATTATTGAGTTCTACTACTTGGTGACAATCATTAATATTTGGGAATATGGACTATTTAGTCCAGGGGTCCTCAAACTTTTTAAACAGGGGGCCAGTTCACGGTCCCTCAAACTGTTGAAGAGTGCGCACTATGGGCCCAGGACAACTCGGCTGCTAAGCAGGACAGGTAGCTGTGGCAAAAACACCTGGTGGGGCCGGGCGCGGTGGCTCACGCCTGTAATCCTAGCTCTCTGGGAGGCCGAGGCGGGCAGATTGCTCGAGGTCAGGAGTTCAAAACCAGCCTGAGCAAGAGCAAGACCCCGTCTCTACTATAAATAGAAAGAAATTAATTGGCCAACTGATATATATATGTAAAAAATTAGCCGGGCATGGTGGCACATGCCTGTAGTCCCAGCTACTCGGGAGGCTGAGGCAGTAGGATCGCTTGAGCCCAGGAGTTTGAGGTTGCTGTGAGCTAGGCTGACGCCACGGCACTCACTCTAGCCTGGGCAACAAAGTGAGACTCTGTCTCAAAAAAAAACAAAAAACAACACATCTGGCGGGCCGGATAAATATCCTAGGCAGGTGGCATGTGGCCCATGGGCCGTAGTTTGAGGATACCTGATTTAGTCATATATAATATATGTATATAAGAATATCTATAGTTTTATTTGAATTTCTATATGGATATACACATTATGTTAGTAAACTTTTCTGAATTAAATTTTTATTGAAGCATATCACATATCAGAAGAGTACACAAATCATAAGTATATAGCTTCATTAATTTTCACAATGTGAACAAATCCGATGTAATCAGTACTCAGATCAAGAAATAGCCCAACACCCCAGAAGCCCTATCAAAGGAAACCACTCTTTGTTTCAAAACAGTATTAATTTTAAAAATTGTATATTTATATATACAGAAAAAAATTAGGTTTTGATCATATTTGTTCAGTTATCTATTGCTATGTAACAAATACCCCAAACTAAATGGTTTAAAATAATCTTTTAAAATTATTTCTCATAGTCATGAGGTTGACTGGGCTAAACTCATGGTTCCTGCTCTGTCATATATTTGCGGTCAGATGTCTGGCACTGGGGTCATCTTGAAGGCTGAAGTTGAGGCTGGCTATTGGCCAGAATACCTAAATTCTGGCTGATCATGTGGCCTGTGCTTCCTTACAGGATGGTGACTGGTTTGCAAGAGCAAACATCCCAAGAGAACAATACAAAAGTACAAGGCATTTTTATGACGTACCCTCAGAAGTCACAGATACCATTTCTGCTGTATTATATTACAGCAATTATAATACAAAGGTCTGCCCAGCTTTAAGGGGAGGGCATATAGACTGTACTACTTGACACATGTATGGTGGGGCATATTGAGGTGTATTATATTTGGAAAACACAGTCTACCATATTGTTTTAGCCTTTGTTGACTTGAAAAGATGAATTTTATATCTAGACTTAATTTTGCTTATTTCATTGATCTTTCCAACCCTGATCCCCATTTGAATTATATAAAATTGTATCTTTTTGCTATGTGTATGTCTTATTCCTACCAGTCTCTCTTTATTCAGTCTTTTTCTCTCCCTGCCACTTCCCATTTATCTTTTCTCCATTTCTTTTTCCCTCCCCTTTTTCCCTTCTTCTCTATATCATCCCTTCCTATCTCGACCTTCTCACCCTCCTACATTCCCTCCTTATCACTCTTCTTCATTTGCATCCCTCTCACAACTCCATCTTGTTTCCAAAAGGATGTAAAGTACATTACAAAGATTCATATAAAAATGAGATAAATATCACAAAGGGAAATGCAGCAGAGAAGTTGGTATAGTATAGATACAAATTCATGCTGTGAAGGCTTGTGTATTTTTTAGAGGTGAGCTGTTCATAGAGGTGGTACCAATAAGTGATATGTTTGTTTATGAAATACGTTCATTATGAAATACAAATGTATATGAAATACGTTTGTCAGACTTTTTGATCTGTATATCTTTCACTTATCAGTTCGGCACTTATTGTGGCTTTAATTTGCATTTCTCTTATTAGAGAAGTTGAGCATCTTTTCAGATGTTTGAGCCATTAGTGTTTCCTTTGTTTCTGTATTCCTGTTTGTTTCTCATATTTCTTTGCTTATGAATATTAATGCTATATTATTTGGTCCACTATCCATATGTTAGATTATTTGACTGTTAGATTATTTAATATTTCCACTTCTTAATGAACATAGATTAGTATTGATTTTTCCAATATTGAAATATTCCAAAATGGAATATATTATATAGCATTATATACATAATATGTAGCATATATTATAGATCTACCATGTGCTCCATTTATATCCATAAAAGTCATGCGTAACTTTTAAATTTCTCTAAAGTTAATTTTTTCATTGCTTAAAAGCTCTTAGCTCATTATTATTAATTATATATTTATCATTGTAAAATACCCTTCATCTCATTTAATGCTTTTTATCTTGATTTAAACTGTCTCTCATATTAAGATCATAACCCTGTTTTCTTTGGGACAGCATTTGCCACAAATCTTTTTTTCAGTGTTTGTGAGCCACTTGTTTTAGATGCAACTCGTTGATACACTGTATGGTTGGATTTTGCTTTGTGATATGATCTGAGTCTTTCTATACATTCTACTCATGTCACTTTTTAAAAATCTTCACTATATGATCTGTTTCCTTTGTGCATGTGCTTTTTCAGTTACTTTAGAAGGTTTTTATTCTAGGTTATTTTATGAATATAACTATGTAATTCTTTAATCTTCTCATTTTTAGTTAATATATATTGACTTTCCACCATGAGAAATGATAAAACTTATTTATTGGAAATATTTATCCCCATCTCCCTTTTTATTAATCGTTCTTTTGCTTTTTGTATCTTATGTATGTAAATGGCATTGTTTTATTTTTGAAAAACTGAGTATTATGCACAAACCCTACTATGTAAGCACAAGTTCCTATGTTCCCAATGTTCTAGTATTCAATATCAAATCCTCCTCACAATGGCATGTTTTACTTTATTCTATCAGCACTTTTGATAATACTCTCTGTATCTTATAGATGAGTGATGTGTCTGCAGGAGGAGCTACCGTTTTTCCTGAAGTAGGGGCTAGTGTTTGGCCAAAAAAAGTAAGCTTGGTTTATTATTTTTATTGTTTTGCTTTTTAAATTTTTTCCCTGAGGAAGAGATAACCCCCCTGTATTTCATGGTCTAATTAATTATATTTTTAAAGGTAGCATGCTTAGTACTACATTTTCTCTAGGTAAAATTTTGGGTATTTTTATGGTACAGTTTACCATGAGTACAGTACTTAGAGGTAATGAGCGCAGGGATTAGTATTTCTAAAATGGATTTCATATTTCATATGATGTTTGCATCTGGACAATATAAGACTTTTTTGTTTTGTATTAGCAGATACTCTTTTTGTCAAGGAGTTTTGTGGTATTTTTCACATCATGAAAAGTTTTTAAAGTGATATAATCACATTTTAAAAATTATATTAGAGGAAGATATAATACTGCCATACAGGAGTCTTTCAGCAGGAACAGAAGAAAATTTAAGTACTGTAGAAAGCAATGAGCTGACATTTTATTTGGGGATAATTTTGAATTGTTCTCCATAGGGAACTGCTGTTTTCTGGTATAATCTGTTTGCCAGTGGAGAAGGAGATTATAGTACACGGCATGCAGCCTGTCCAGTGCTAGTCGGAAACAAATGGGGTAAATATTTCTTGTATGAATAGAATTTGTGATTTTTGTCTCATATTTTGAAACTATTATAATCTACATCTTAATCCCCCCAGATTTACATAATATGACTTTAACATTGTATAGGATTCAACCAAGTTCCTGATCTTAATATAAATTTGCATTCAACAGGAGAATTTTAATGACATTTTTAATTCTATTTCTACTTAAGAAACATTGGCTCAAAATTGAATAAGAATTATCTTCTGCTCAGCGGGTTAACAATCTGATTGAAACATACTAATGGATAAATTATAGTGTAATACATATTAATACAAAAACATACACAGAAGATAGTGACTCTCTAAGTTTGGGAAATCATCTTCAAAGCTTAATTTGGTCCTAAAGATAAACAGTTGTTTTCTAGGCATATTAAGGACCAGGGTCAGGACTAGTGTGAGGCTAGAGTAGCACCTAGGGTACAGAATTTAAAGAGGCCATTCAGGGTTATGCAAGTGCAGGATAGACCACATTAAAAAAAAAGATTAAAAGTAATTTCAACTGTTTCTTTTAACATTTATTAATTAGCTCCATAAATCCATTTCAATATGTGTTTCTAGCCATGTTTCAAGTGCTCCATTAGCCACATGTGTCTAGAATTACTGGATAGGACATAGCAAGATTAAGGAGTCAGGCCTGATCAGGATTTAAAAATCTCTCCTGATGATAATGAAAGCCTGGACTAAAGCAGCAGTGAAAGGGTGGAGAGCAGATAGATTCAAAAGACATTTAAGGCCGGGCGCGGTGGCTCACGCCTGTAATCCTGGCACTCTGGGAGGCCGAGCGGGCAGAGAGCTCAAGGTCAGGAGTTCGAAACCAGCCTGAGCAAGAGCAAGACCCCGTCTCTACTATAAATAGAAAGAAATTAATTGGCCAACTCATATATATATAGAAAAAATTAGCCGGGCATGGTGGCACATGCCTGTAGTCCCAGTTACTCGGGAGGCTGAGGCAGGAGGATCGCTTGAGCCCAGGAGATTGAGGTTGCTGTGAGCTAGGCTGACGCCGGGGTAACAGGGTGAGACTATCTTTAAAAAAAAAAAAAAAAGACATTTAAGAAATTAGATGGAGTTTGGTGAATAAAGACTGCATACAAGAGTTGAAAATGGCAAAAGAGGAGTTAAGGTTCCTACTTGAGAATTTTGTGCCTGTTGATGCCATTGATTGGGTTCTGTAATACTACAGATGAATAGAAAATTAATTTCTTTTGGGATACACTTTACATGGGATATATTTTTTAAAAGCATCTTGGAAACAATAGTGATTTATCACAAAGTTGCTCCATTAAGAGTGGAGAGTTTGTGTTATTAAAATGTCTTTGTAATTTGGGAGTTGTACTTTGAAAACAGATAAAATGATGTTCTGCTGTATCTGTACCTGTATCTTAAATTCTGTTTCTCATTTCAAGCCTCACATTGAACATTGGAAACTTTAGGAAATGTACTTTTAAATATACATACCCATGTTGACCAAAAAAAAAAAAAAAACACTTAGTCTAAGTAGCATTTGCTTTTATCTGGTTTTGGTCTTGAACTTTTAGCCTATGTTGAAACTTTGTTATAGATCTATCTTTTAGAAGCTAATTAAATAGTAATTAGATTGGGGGGAATTAATGTACATTTTTTTCTCTCATAGTATCCAATAAATGGCTCCATGAACGTGGACAAGAATTTCGAAGACCATGCACCTTGTCAGAATTGGAATGACAAACAGGCTTCCCTTCCTCTCCTGTTGTACTCTAAATGTGTCTGATACACACATTTCCTGGTCTTAACTTCCAAGAGTTTACAATTGACTAACACTCCATGATTGATTCAGTCATGAACCTCATCCCATGTTTCATCTGTGGACAATCACTTTATGGGTTTTTTTCCTTTTAGAAGTAACACTAAATCACATTATATATATAAAACCTTAAAGTTCAGTTGGTAGCACAGAAGGCAGAGTTTAAAATGAGGAATTTTTGTGTTATATTTTGAAGAACTTTTTGGTTGGATAAAAAATATAATTTAAGCATCCAGTTTTAGTATTTTACTACATCTTGGTTGGTGGTAGGCTAGAATGGGCCATGTGATAGGAAACACATGCCTTACAATATAGATCTAGGTATTATGTTTACCTAGCCTTACTCTGTTTATTTTCTGGATCTGCCTGATAATCTAGGACTGTAATCTGAGTTCCCTACATACAGTGTTTGCTCTTTCCATATGATATTCTAGGTTGATTTTTTTTTTCCTCCCAAGTCCTTCTTAAATTTACCAGTCCCTCTCTATTCTTTCAGAGCTCCTCTGTGGTGAATTTAACCTGTTTGTAAAGGAAAAAAAAGTTTTTAAATGAAAGTACTTTAACTCAAAGTCCTGTATAACAATACTGGGCCTTCTTAACCAAAACACTCATCACTTAATCTGTTTCTTTCTCCTTTTTCTTAAATGACTGATGATTTTGTCCAGAAATTTTGCTATTTTTCTTAGTGCTAATACCTTGCCTCTTATTCCTGCTACAGCAGGGTGGTGATATTGGCATTCTGATTAAATAAATATTGTGCCTTAGGAGACTGGAAGTTTAAAAATGCACAAGTCCTTTCAATGATCCCTTTCAATGATGAGGGAATTTTTAAAAAGTAGTCTTTTACTTAAAAAGCCAAAATGTTTGTTTTTTAAAAATTCTGAAATGTGTTGTGACAATAATGACCTATTTATGATCTTAAATCTTTTTTAAAAAGTGTTTTCTGTGTGGTGTTTTTAATATTTAAATCTGAATGTATGACATAGAAATAACAGGTTAATTCTAATATATATTGTTTTTTACTTAGGACTTTGTTTTCACTCACACAATGTCAGTCACGTAGTTAGAGAAGAAAATTTAGGGTCTCTGAAGTTTCACATATTTAATCAAAATGTGTTTGCTTCACAGAGTCTATAATTTCACTATGGTTGGGAGGTTATTACAATAATGGTACTTAAGACTCTCTTAAAATATATGGTGCTATATAAAGCTGAACTTAATGAATGAAGCATGTTAATTGATCCACTAACTTTTTGCATTATTTATGGTGAATAAGGGCTCTTTACCCTTTGTGTAATATTTAAATTTTTAGGGAAGAATTTGGTTTATTCTCTGGAAAAGTAAATATTTTTTCTTTTGTTTTGAGACAGGGTCTTGCTCTGTTGCCTGGGCTAGAGTTGCAGTGTGTCGTCATAGCTCACTGCAGCCTCAAACTCCTGGGCTCAAGCCATCCTCCTGCCTCAGCCTCCAGCATAGCTGAAACTACAGGAACACACCACCATAACCAGCTAATTTAAAAATTTTTTTTGTAGAGACAAGGTCTTGCTATATTGCTGAGGCTGGTCTTGAACTCCTGGCCTCAAGGGATTCTCCCACCTCGGCCTCCCAAAGTGCTGGGGTTACAGGCATGAGCTACTGTACTAAGCCTTTATCTATTTTTAAAATGAACTGAAGTCCCTTTCTCCCAACCACCCTTTGTTCTAACACAGGTATTTCAAAAATACTTTTTTACTTAGGGAAGATTAGATGGAAGCAACAAATTCAAAAGTATAGAAAATAGGGGTTCAAAGGATAGAATATACTGCTATATGTTTTAATAAGTAGAATAAAAATAGTTATTTCTGAAGGAAATTACACATTTCATAATCTTACAAATTACTTCTTCATATTCAACCTGGAGCCTCACATGGGAAATGGTAAACTCTTCAGAGTTAGATCTTATAGAAGAGTTAGATCTTATCCAGAGTTGTATAATCATCAATGATTTTTCTTTCCAAATGAAAAGAAGGGGGTAGAATCCAATATGAAGCTTTAGGTCATTGTTGCAAAAAAAATTTTTTTTTTTTTAATGCTGACCTTTCAAATAAATGAGGGCTGGAACTACCCTGGAAAATGTGAAAACTGGTTTCCTTACCAACCCTGAGTCTTTCCTTCAAGTTTTTATTTGTATAATTGACTATCTTTTAACTTTTGGCAAGTCATTTCTGTTTTTTCCAACATTAAAAAGAAAAACAAAATTTACTATAATTTGTTAATGGAAAAACCTAATAATTTTGGCTAGATCAGAGAAATGGAATTTTAAGTTTTTAAAAGGTAAATATTAAGTTTTGGCCAGGCACGGCGGCTCACGCCTGTAATCCTAGCACTCTGGAAGGCTGCGGCAGGCAGATTGCTCGAGGTCAGGAGTTCGAAACCAGCCTGAGCAAGAGCGAGACCCCCGTCTCTACTAAAAATATATATAGAAAAAATTAGCCAGGCATGGTGGCGCATGCCTGTAGCCCCAGTTACTCGGGAGGCTGAAGCAGAAGGATAACTTGAGCCCAGGAGTTTCAGGTTGCTGTGAGCTAGGCTGATGCCATGGCACTCACTCTAGCTTGGGCAACAAAGTGAGAGACTGTCTCAAAAAAAAAAAAAAGATTGGAAGTTCCATCATTCACTAACTTTAAATATGGAGTTACCACCAAGATGGAGTTAACTGAAGTACCCACCAGAACATCCTAACAGTGGGGTAATAAATGTGATAACTAGGCAATAACCTAGTAACATTATAAAAAGAAAAGTGAAGGGATTTAAGGATTCTTTGAAAAGCTAAATGGTAAATGCAATGATGAAAGAAGCAAACATCTATTTCAGTGAACATATAATAAAATGGTTAGTACCGTGTGAGAAGGTTGAGAAGAATTATAAATAGTAAATCAGCACATATGTGATATAAACTAGTGTGTGTATATATATGAATCAAATCTTATTGCTGCTTAGGAAGATCTAAATATCTTTACATAGCCATGTGTTGACTGCTATACATAAATCCCATACCACTTAAGGCCATATAGCTGACAAATGAACAATTTATGTGCCAGAGCCCCATGGGCTAAACAACTGAATGACTGGATTTCTGTTATTAAGAAACTTACAGTGTAATACCAAAACGCAATCATGATTTAATAAGTCACTGAAGAAGAAACAGAATTACAAAATAAAGATTTCTGGGAGAAAGCAGAATGGAAAAATGACATTAGTCCAGATAGCCAGCAACACAAGGACCAATCTCTTCTCTTGGCAGCACTTATTTCTACTATAGCAAAAGTTGGTGTTTTAGAAGGATAATTGGGTAACTTAAGAAAAAAGGAATTAACAACAGAGTACCATAAATTACCAGATTTGTCAGGATAAAATAGGCTTCATATTCCTGTACTCCAATGGTCCTTGGATATTATTCCACCACATTGATGGTGTTTTACAAAATTAACTGTAGTAGAACAATAAAGTTCTTGGCTGCTTGCTTTCTTAAATTTGAAGACTTTACATTTAGAAAGAAAGTAATCTTTAGCCTTCAGTTAAATGTAAAATTTGAAGCAAGAAAACCAATAAGGCTGCTTTACTGATAAGTTTGAGAAATTATTTAAAAAATTAACATCTATATAACCAGATGTTAAGTAAAAGAAACCAAAAGAAGTAGAAATCCTCCTCCTCCTGCTTTTTGAGGCCTTGTTGAGCAGTGCTGCTCACCATTCTGTTGAAATGAGTTATGTGTCACTTAACAGAAATGCATTGTTAGAGTGTAAGTACATAGAATGTACTTACACAAATCTAGATGGTATAGCCTACTGCACACCTAGACTACATGGTCTAGCATATTGCTCCTAAGCTATAAACCTGTACAGCTTGTTACTGTACTGAATACTGGAAGCAACTGTAACAATGGTAAGTGTGTACCTACACATATCTAAACATAGAAAAGGTACAGTAAAAATACAGTATTATCATCTTATGGGACCCCCATCATATATGTGGTCTATTGATTAAAATGTCATGCAGCACATCTGTCATGTTATAATCACATATGAAATAAGCTGTAAAATCTGAAAAAGGAAAATCCTATTTTATCTTTTGGTCTTTCCAATTCATAATAAGCTTATTTCTAATATAAATCTGTTTTAGGCTAAGCACTTTTAAAAATTCAGAACATTTTACATATTGAGTGACGTGGATTTTTAGGGAGAAGGGTTGTGTGTCTCAAGTCAGCCTTTTCTTAGAAAAGGCATTCACTTATAAGTCCACAAAGAATCAGAATTATTGCAATACCTACTTTTAAAGTCATAAATGTAGTTGAACTCCATTGCAGTGTAGGTTTTACATGGATTTAGATACATCATGAGTTAAATCATGTCATGTCAAATAACTACATAATGGTTAAATTCTAATATCTTTTTATACATGTATAATAAATTATACTGAAATTAAGTCTTAGAAGATGAAAAAACTTACATGATAGAAGTAAAAATAGAACATAACTAAATTCAACTAACAGGCATGGGACATCTTTCAGATTTATGACATAGTACTATCTTTTCCATGTTCCTTTTTTATGTCTGCAACTATGGGGAAAATAGTCCCCATGGAAAGATTAAGTAAGGTAATAATAAAAGTGCCCTGAAATAGTGCAACTCGGAGTGTGATTTGTAGATGAGCTACCATGCGTTTTCTTATTGGTCCACCAAAGTCAACTCAAAGGAGGAACTCTTGTAAACCATGAAGTGAAAACATCAAGTAACTTACAAAGGAAACCCCACCAGGCTAACAGCAGACTTCTTAGCAGCGACCTTATAAGCCAGAAGAGATTGGAACCCCATCTTCAGTCTTCTTAAACATAACAACCGACAGCATAGAATTTTGTATCCTAAAAAACTAAGTTTGATATATGAAGGAGAAATAAAGACTTTTCCAGACAAGCAAACATTGAGGGAACTTGTTATGACCAGACCTGCCCTGCACAAAACACACAGAATTGCACTGGATACATACATGAATCAGCACAACAGATCCCTACAAGTGTAAAATCACCCAACAGCTAAAGTTTACAGCTCATATAAAATAGCACAAGAATGAAAAAGCAATAAGGTATACCTAAAATGATGAACAGCACAGCATCCCATATATCAATTCTATCTTTCAATGTTTATGGTCTGAATGCCCCCCTTCAAGGGACACAGGCTGGCTGAATGGATGAAAAAACATAATCCAAGTATCTGCTGTCTCCAGGAAACACATCTAACCTACAAAGACTCACACAGACTCTGCATAAAGGGATGGAAAAAATATTCCACACAAATGGAAACCAAAATGAAGCAGATGTAGCCATTATCGTGTCAGATAAAATTGACTTTAAATCAACAATAGTAGAGAAAGACAAAGACAGTCATTATATAATGGTAAAGGGAGCAATTCTACAAGAAGGTATAACAATCCTAAATATGTAAGCACCTAACACAGGAGTTCCAGATTCATAAAGCAAATTCTAGGTCTAAGCAAAGAGATAAATACAATCATAATTGCTGGGGACTTTAACACTGACAGCTAGAAAGACCATCAAAGCAAAAAATAAATAAGCAATGGGCTTAAACAGGACACTAGAACAAATGGAACTAATAGACATTTACAGAACATTCTACCCAAACATTACTGAATATACATTCTCAGCACATGGGACACTCTCCAAGATTAATCATTAATCAATACATGTCTCAATGAATTAAAAAAAATTAAATGATACCATGTATCTTTTCAGACCACAGTGGAATAAAAGTAGAAATCAATTCCAAGATAAACACTCAGATCTACACAAAGTCATGGAAATTAAACAACCTGCTGCTGATTATTGGGTCAGTAATGAAATTCAGATGGAAATCAAAAGATTCCTTGAACTGAACAACAAAGGG